GTGATCAGGTTGGGCCACTGTGACAAAATACATGAGTGACATCAGTTTACAAACAGGAAAGACTGATTACGGCGCCCAGTTTTAGAGGATTCAGTCCATGGTCACCTGAGCCAAGTGCTTTTAGTCCTAGGGTGGGGTGGTGAATCATGGGGGAAGCTGTGGTGGGGAAAGCAGCTCTGGGCTGTGCATCCAGAGAAGGGGATGAGGGGGAGACAGGGGGGAGGGTAAAAAGTAGGGGAAGGGCACGGGAGTGGTACTGAGAGACTGCTTTCAAAGCAAAGTCCTCCTCCAAACTCATGAAGCTGTGCATCCATAAGTGGATTAATCCATTGATCCATGCCAAGGGTTAGAGTGCTCATGACACATTCAGATTTCACTGACCTCAGCTCTGGATTTCAGAGCAACTCTGTAAAAATGACCCACAAGATACAGGATTTAGGATTAGGATTATCTTTCATATTTACCCAACTGTGTACAGGTTATTAGGACATTATTGATATAGAAAATAAACGACACTCCCCAATCTGTGGTGTCATTTAAATAAGTCAAAGTATTTCAGATGTATGTCTTTTTTCCGGTGCTGCGGCCCTCACCTCGAGCCTCGCACATGCTGGGCAAGTGCTTCACCATGCACTGCACTCCCGGCCCCACGTGTCTGACGATGTCTGACGCAATAATATGACTGCACGAATTCACTCCTGACATGTGCGTGCTGTCAACTTAAAGTGCATCATATAGACTTAGATTTTGTCAACTTTGCTCAAATTTAACTTTAGTAAAACATTCCATATTTCTGGTTAAAAACATATCACGGGCATCAGATCCCCAGGCTCACTTTTCTGCCACTGCTTGTAGAATAATTCAGGAATGTTTTTTAAATTGTCAAGAAAGAAAATGCCACTTTATGTCTTGACTTTCACTGAAGTAGCCATCAAATTCTGTATTTTTCTCTACATACAAAGATATGTGTGTAAATAAATATATATATGTGCATGTCTATAACTATGGTCATTTCATTTTTGGAGAACCATAAGTATACACTGATTTAAACATTGCTGAAGTAATTCTAAATTTTTTAATGTAAAATGAATTCTAAAGTTTTTAATGTAAAATGAAGAGAGATATAGTTTTTTCCTCTGACTCTCTCAAACTCTAAAATTTTCATATTCTATAATCATATTTAGGCTTTAATTCATTTTCTCTTCAACGTTCCTGTATACAACTCTACTTCCCGTGTATATCTTCAGTAAATAATTGTGCACATATTATGATCATTAAATAGAGCTAAAATATAAGAAAATATTTAAAAAGTCCTATTTTCAAAGGCTTTAAAACTTTATAGAATAAAGCATTTTAACCTATCTTAATTCAGAAAGACCTAAGTAATAAAACATATAAAAAGAGACTCTGAAAATTAACAATTAATACACAATTCAAATGTCTTCCAGAATATAGAGAGTTTTTCTTCTTCCTTTGTTTCCTTCAGTTTGATTCTATATTTTCTTTCTTTTTTTTTTTTTTAGCCTGATCTCATACATCTTATAAACAAAATCTGTACTAGGTTAGTTCTTTATGCTATATGTTAAAATTCCTCAAACCATGCCACATTTAGTGCATGAAAGAAATTGATTTACAGTTTTGGTTTCATATTAACATAAACAATTCAAGAAACATTATGCTTTAAAAATTGCCAAGTTTAGTAACTTTTATTCTGTAGCTTTTACTTCATAATCTCAAAAAAGAGAACGTTTTGGAAACGTTTATCAGTCACACTTAAGAGGCTCCAACCCTTCCTTTTGATGGCTAAATGTTGAAAATCCAGTCTCAGTGAAGTATGCAGATGTGACAGAAGGCTAATGTCTGTCACTGTTTCTGCACTTGCAGGGATGGTCCTAGGCTTTTCCACTTTCAGAACCCTGGAAGTGTGCTTACTCTCAGGATTTGGACAAATATTCATTTCTTGAGCCTCATCTCTACATCAGAAATAGATACCACTATTATAATCTTAGAAAAAGAAAGGGTGTAAAACAGCTCACTGATTTGCCCAACCTCACAATAAAATAGTGAAGACAGGAGTTTGATCCAGGCCATTGGCTACAGAACCTGTTCTCTAGACGTCATTCAATGGCTGCAGAAGAAATCTGCACAGCCTTGTGCACTACATATGTGTGTGCATACTTAATGCTTCTTTTGGCCAGCAGGTAACAGGTCAGAGACAAACTGATCCAGCATTCACTTCAGTAGCCATTTAGAGCCAGTTAACTCTTGGGAAGGACTTCACATTTTGTAAGGTCATTTCCACACCCCCTAACACCTTTGCACAAGAAAGGGAAGTTGCTAAGACTCTGCTTTCCAAGTCAAGGGTTCGGTTCTCTTATAAAGTTAGTGTGGGAGTCACCATGTTTTCCAGACTGACTGCTTAGGCAGGAATGGATTAGAAGAGTGTGACCACTCTTCAAATCACACTCAAGCAGGGACAGACATTGGTTTCCAAGTCATTGATGCTGTTCCTTTTTCAGATCTAAAGGGAGAGACATCTTTACACATTCCAGAAATGAACTAAGCATCTGGCCAGAGGAGCGCCTCTCTACTCCAGTGTGGAAATAAAGGGCATGTGTTTGGTAACAATTTCTTCAAAAGAATCACGGCAGAGACAGCGATGATTTAGAAACTATCCTCTGAGGAAATTTATCATGCTCTTTGCAGGAGACAAAACAGCCTTCAATTCTGTATGCAAATTCTTGTCAGCAAGTCCGTGTTGGTATAATAGAAGGTACACGGTCATGCTATGACGCTGTTCTTTGTTTTTGAGTTTAGTTTTGTTTTGGTTTGGTTTTGCATGGGTATATTTTGTTTTGCTTCAGAACCAAGCAGGCAGATTACTGGTGTTAATACTGATTTGCTTACCTAAAAATGTCATTTCTGACTAGACAAAAGCACTTTTCCTTCTAGGTGTTTGCTCTGTTTCACAGGATGGGATACCTCCTACATACACTGTTTTGGAAAGACGAGTGTTATTTAGGATAGCCTTATGTATTTAGTCATTTATCATGGTGATGAAAGCTGATAGCTTTTACACCAGACCTAACCTTGTGTTCTATTGATCTATGTACTATTTAGTGGTACTCTAACTTTTAATATGATGACTTTCCAGTATCTTTGTGTTTACTAACACAAGTTGGCATTTGTCTTAGTCTGCTTGGGATGCTATAACAAGCTACCATAGGTTGCATGGTTTAAATGTCAGAAACTTGGTTTTTTTTGGAGCTCTAGAGCCAGGCATCCAAGGTCAGGTCTAGGGGTGCTGGGTTCCTGGGGAGGTCTTTTTCTGCCCTGAGGTGCCCCCCCCTTCTCCAGAGCCTCCCTTATCCACAGGTGGAGCAGAGAGTCAGCTCTCTGTCTTCTCTTCCTTAAGGACTCTGACAACTCAATCCAGATCTTTACTTCATCATCCAGTGCTAATCACTCTTAACACAAATGCAAATAACCTCCAATACGTCAGTGATACTGATCTGTGGCATGTGGACTTGAGCAGGGTATCATCATTCAATCTATGACATTATTAATCTTGCACTGTGTGAAAGACATTGATTTCTGTTGCTTGACCATTCTTACACATGAAATTTATGTTTGCTAATGTATCTCTTACTTGAGTAGCGTGACCGCACTGTGTTTGTCTACAAGTGTTGATGTGATGACTTTTTGGAACAAGTTAGAGTACAAAAAGACAACTGTATTTTTCTGATCAATTTAGAGCTCAAATTATTTTTCCTAATATAACATTTTTGAAGCTTCTATTCAAATTTAGGCTGTAAAATTTAAGCCCACTCAACAGATAGTGGAAATACCATTTTACCTAAATGAAGAAATCAAGTATTCATTCTTAAAGAAAGAAACATGAGTATCTCTATGGATGATGAACAAAGAGATACCTTGTTCCCCTACCTACTGTAACACAGTTCACACTATGAAGTGCAAGCGAAGGACATTCCTGGCACCCGAGCTGTGACTCTGAGTGTACTCCAGGAGTGTTACGGGAAGCTGCATAAAGAGAGGAGTTCACTAACTAGCTTGGGACATCCTGGAGTCACGGCTGAAACCAGTGGAACTGCTGCAGCAAATCTTCCTCCACAGAGACTGCTGGCCTGGATCATTGCATTTTCCAGACCTAATGCAGCTAAGGTGGGGGCTGGAACACTGATTCATGGACACGCTGACCATCCCAGCTCACCAAGAACACGTACAAGAGTATTCACTGCAGGGGCGCTCAGCCATTGTCTGAGGCTTTCTGTCTTCTTTGAAATTATTGCCCTTCCTATAGGATGCAGGATTGAAATTCTTACTGCTCTCAAGCAGCAAAAATGGATGCAAACAAAGTCACAAGATACAGACAGTGGGGCACTTTTTCTAAAAGAGAAAGGCCATTTCGGTGCAGCTCTGCCATGAACATAATACACGAATAGCACTGATGCGACAGTTGAACAATCCTAGTCAAACAGATTCTTGCATGGAATATTCTAAAAATACTTGGAAGCCCTTGCTTCTGTGCCTCACATTTGCAGTACTGGGGCTGATATTTAAGGATCTGTGCTAGTGAAAAAATAAAAGTATTTCTTCAGTGAAAATTAGAGAAAGAAACAAAGGGTGGGGGGCACCAGATGAAAATGGAGTAACTTCCAGGAATTCTAGAGTGTATGCTGGTTTATGGAAATACGCGTATCCCAGAATGACCCTACAAACAACTTAAATACAGCCAGAGATAAGAGGCAAGGCTCCCCGAGGTTCGGGTTTGTATGGCAGTCATATTCACTCAAAAGGGGCGCAGCTTGGTGTGTGTGTAAGGCAGGGCTACCCTTACCTTTCTACAAGCCTGTCACCCTCCAAAGTCAAATCCGGCTAACGATGTTAAGCTCCAGCCACGCACAATTCTGCTTTGGCTCTATTTCTCAAGCATGTGCCCCCGAGGGCTAACAGGGTCACAAGAAGCAATTGGCTCTTACCAGAACGTTGATGGTCACCTGAGCAGTTGCACTTCTCTGTCTGAGAGGGTCAGGGACAGCATCGTTGTCCAGGTCTGTGATTCTTACAACTATCCTGTACTGCAACTCAGATTCCCTGTCTAAGGAATCCAGAAGCTTTATCATTCCTAATGCAAATAAAAAAAAATGGGGGGGGACCTGTCATTCAGATTTGCTACAGATGTTTAATTCACGCTGAATTGTAAGTGATATAAATGAAATAATCTTAACATAATGAATGGAAATCAACATGCAGATGAATTTTGGTTATATATTCATACCTCTAGATTATGCTGCAGCAGCAAAAGAATAACAGATGTGAATTCACACAGGGTTTTAGCCACCTGTTCCACATTCTTAGGTATAAGGAAAAATATACATGTGCACAGGCTTTCTGACATTGCATAAATCAAAGATCAAAGCTTGGGCCTTTCCATGTAGTAGCTAAAGATTTATAGCTGCGACTAACAAGCCAAGGTGAATACTGCATAGTTCAAGGGAAACATTGCTTTTTTAAAAATAAAAAATATTCTAGTGCTGACAATTTTCAAATAAAATGGATTCCAAACGAGTATATGTGAGCTGTTCATATTTATTATTCATTGTTATCAGCATTTTTGCAATACCTGTGTATGGTTCCATGTAAAATTTCGGTGGCGTCCCCAGGCGGCCTCCAACAATGGTATATTTCAGATTGTTAAACGGCCAGTCTGCATCTGTAAATGTAAGTTTTCCCACTAGTGTATCAACTGGACTGTTTTCAAGTACACTGAAGGTAAATGCTGATGTGGTTCCAATTGGATTCATCTCATTTATGCGAAGCACTCTTACAATGACAGTAATGATTGCTACAGAGAAAAAAGCCGTAAACACACAACTAGAGCAATTGTATGTTCTCTTCAATCCTTCTTTCCATTTTAATTAACACCTCATGTTGCATACTACATTCTAAGTATATGCATTACACAATCATAGGCATGTTGTCCAATGGAAATATAATGGACCTCAAAATCAAGCCACAGGTATGATTTTAGCTGTCTTAGCAAGCACATTACAAAGATGAAATTAATTGTAGTAATTTATTCATTGCACTTATATCACTGTTTTATTATTAATGCATTATACTTATAAAATTATAGAGATTTTATGACAGTTTTTAGGATTAACATACTTCATTAATTGATATTTTTGAAAATGCGTAAAAGTATTTACCACTTATAACACACATCAAGACTGCTACTTGGAATTAAAGATGTTAGTTTGCCTGAGTCAACAAGATGTTGGACTACAACTAACTATTTCAGCCTGACACTATAATTAATAATGAAGGAAATAATTTACTATGATTATCTGAATATTAGTATTTTATCCCAATGTAAAATAAATATATGCCTTGAGGAATGCTTAAGATACACACAGATTAAAGTCCACATTGACTTTAACTGAAATTTACCATTTGAGCATCATTATCTCAACCAGGCTGGAGTTTCTTGCTAGCTTTCAGTTTGTAAGCAGTAATGCACATGCAATGAATAATTAATTGTAGTAACTTATAAAATGCAAATTTCTAGTAACCAATTTTTAAAGCTCTTTAGTATTTTATATAAGAAAAATTATTTTAATATTTTAGATAAATGTCTTCTCACTTGAAAGAACAGGACTTCCTTTGTCAGAGACTTTCACAAACACCGTATGTTTGAAGTGCCTTCCTGCAAAAGTAGCATTATCAGAATCTAGAGGTTTAGGTCCAACCTGTGAATGAAAAATGGTGTACTGTTAATTTTGTTTTGTTTGGCTGAAAATTTATTTCATCTTTCATGTAAATCTAAAACAGATAAACAGCAAATATTTGAAAGTCATAGGCATGTTGTCCAATAGAAATATAATGGACCTCAAAATCAAGCCACAGGTATGATTTTAGCTGTCTTAGCTAGCACATTACAAAGATGAAATTAATTGTAGTAAAGTAATTTATTCAACAAAACGTGTCCTAAATGCTGTCATTCCAATGTGTGATCGACATGTTAGGGAGCTCTTCAGTTGTTTCCCGTCGTAGTTCTGTGAACTCCAGTATGTCTCACTACAGCGAATCTCAGCTCACAAGTTGCATTCAAGCGTTGAAGTACACATGGACCTAGAGTCTGCCATTCGGCAAATTTCTATGTTACGTAAAGTATAAATTTATTGTCAACCAAGAAAATCTCACTACACATTCTAACATTTCAAACCACATTCTGTCGTGAATGTATACTAATCACCGAACTAGGGTTTTATTTCTATGTGTGCTCACTCACGCTGATTTGCCTGTCACAGACTGTGTGAGTCCACATACTTTCTTTCTAAATGCAGATGTTCCTTGTCTTATTCTTGTTGGATTTATGGTTTTTGAACTGAGGATGATAACAAAGCAAGGTGCATTCAGCAGAAAGATCCAAGGAATTTTCAACGTTGATCTTCTTCTCGGCTAGCAGTATGCAGCCCGGCGCTCTCAGGATTTTGGATCATGGAAGTGAGTCAGGCAGTCTTCCAGGCTGCTCCGTGATACCTGGGAGACACCACTGATTCCCGCAGTGAACTGTGTCACTGAGCGGTGCTGCTCCCTATGCCAGGCGTATTAAATGTATTTCTGATTTAAAATATTTTCAACTTACAGCAGGGTTCATCTGAGGATACCCCAGATTAAAGAGCAATTGTAGTCACCTTATTCTATATTTAAGATTTATGAAGAGAGATTGTCCTGAATTTATTTTTCTCCAAAAGGAATTATGTCTGAGTTGGCAATAATGGACTCATCTTGCAGAAGCAAGTTCCTATTTGCAAGTTTCAAAACCATGCAGAAACAGAGCTTGAGGTTCACTCTGTGGGAGAGGCCAAGCCAGCTCCAGTTTTGCTGTTTCCTTTCACTCCCTTGGGGAGAACATGCAGGGCAGGCATGATATTTTCAGGATCTTTAATAATGTTTGATACAAGGGGCCATCTAGGAGTCTTCTCTCCACAGCTCACGAATAATCACACAGTCCTCTGGGTGGTCGTAACCGTACACTGAACGTGACACCAGCTAAGGAAGGGAAGCAACGTGACTGCGTGCAGTTTCCAGATTTTCTCAGGTCCTTTCTGTACCTCAGCTGCATTCACATTAACTGCCTTTCCCAACAAACAATCAACATTTCCCAGAAAGAAGCTGTGTACAGCAATTTATACAGGAAAGCATAGCTGAACGACATATTTTCTTAAGATTCTATAATGTTCCATAAATTGCAAAATCTTGGAACTATAAATGAAATTGCAAGTGGAAGAAAAATTATTTCTTCATATATAAAGTAGACTACTAGGTAGTCTCTAAGGTACTTTTCAGTTCTAAGGTCTTGTGGTCTACTTTCTAAGCAGATAAAAAGAAAACAGATAAAGAATATTAATGGAGTGAAGCCTGATATCAATAAATTCACAATTCACACTGGTATTACTGCTCCAAAATTGCTATATGCTATTTTCTACCTATTTACACTGTGATAATATTAAAACTAGAATAAAAAAGAAGCATAACCACACTAAACACAGAAGCAAAGGCAGACACGAACGTATGTCAGAGACAGTATTGCAGGATGCTGTAGAAACATTATTGTGAAGGTTAGCAGTAATTGAAAAGATTGACAGACTTCTTACACCCTCTAACCCAAAACATCAATCATTTTACATTTCAAAGCACATAAAAGTTAAAAGACACTTGGTAAAATACTTGCAGGTAAAGTATAAATTACTTTTCAGAATATGTGGATTCGTCACCCAAATACACAAGCAGAACAAACATGGAAAATACATATGTATCCTGTTTGCACAAAGGATGCTCACATGTTTCATGTTTATTCACAGAGCTGGTGCAGATGAGCAGCTCATTACCGAGCAGGAAAAGGCGTGTTAAGATGTGTGGAAATACCAGGCAGCAAGGGAAGGGTGCCGAGTGGGAACTCTGCTGACGCACTGCTGATGCACACGTAAGCTGGTACAACCAGTTTGGAAAATGACTTGATGCTACTGCATGCAGCTGGACCTTTGCACTGTATCCATGGCAGTTCTGGGGCTGGGTGTATACCTGAAAAAGGTATCAAGGGAAGTATCCAGAAGTTCATGATAGCCATTCATAGAGGCTGTGCTTTGAGTCTGAAACATTCCCAAGGCTCAGGCTTCAAGTGATTGGCTCCGGAAGGTTCTGGCCTCACCAGTGATCAGTGTGTGCATGGGTTCATCATTCGATGGTCTGGTGGAAGATGGTGAAGACTGAGGAAGGGCACCTCGTTCCCGGTTCCCGGGGTGGGGTCTTGGATCCATGTACTGAAGACAGTATTTTGTCACTGGCCCATTCTCTGCCTCCTGCCTGCCATGAAGTGGGCGCTTTCCTCCTCCACGCTCTTCTGCTCTGACCACACAGGCCTAAAAGTAGGTAAGCAGGAGCTGGAACTTCGAACTTACTTCTCACTTAAAGTTGATTTTTCTCAGGGATTCTGGTCACAGCAACAGCAATCTAACACAATGCAGTAAGCAAACAGCAGGAGAAAGTTCACATCTCTATCCATGTGAGAATGACAGGCAGCCTTCAATGTGGCATTAAGGGACAGCGTGGCACATTCCAGCAGTGACAGACACAGGTCCACATTCCCCGCGGACAGGCGATTTAGAAATAGCACATAAATACCCAGACGAGGAGACTACATGCATTCCACCACTTTCTAATGCACCAGAGCTAACCAGCTTTCACAGTAGAGCCTAAGACTATGCACACAGATGATAAAACTACAAAAACCCCGGGGAAAGGATGGAACAAAGCCGGAGATATTGTTGGTGCTAAGGACACATCAAAGGATGGGAAAGGCTGACAACACAGCTGTGAGTAATTTTCTAGTTCTGAAGTGGAGTGATGGGTTCAGAGGTTCATTTTATTATTATGCTGCATAACTTGCAAATATGTTAATCATGTTATCTTGAAAATATCAACTGTTACATCTTTAAATAACAATTAAGAATAGTCTGACTAAAATATGCTGGGGTAGTTTTTGGGATCCATGCTCATTAAAGAAAAATAACTCAATAAAATATATGATTAGCAATATTAACTTAAAGGAATAGCTTTACTTTATTATTTTATTTAGAAGCTAAGTATGTTGCATAGAGAATCCTTTGTATTAAATAGACATGGTTGCTTGACATTAAAATTACAACCTTATCTTTGGCAACCTCGAGAAAATCATTGCTCAGTGAATTCAGATAAATTTAAAATGAATGTCTGCTAGTCTGCTAGAGTTTTAATTACTGGATCTGGTCTAATTTTGACAGACACAAAATCAAATTCATTGAGTCGAATTCATTGGATTCATATCATTCTGTGATGGAGTTTTTTACCCTAACTTGGAAATCAGGGAACATTAACTTCAAGAAAACCCACTGATATCTGCTAGACTTCTTTTCTCCAATTTCTATATAATTGGAGTTAGAGCGATGGGATTTTTTACAAAGTGTGATTAAATAGGCAGCACCTTCATCTTGCTCTAACAGTCATGGAAAAAAGCCAATTGGTAGGAAAGAAAAAAGGGGACAGGATTTTATGTTTAGCCAACTAAACACTTATGAGAGGAACAGAAATAAAAAATATATCTGGCTTTGCAACAGTGCTTGAATTTTAAATGCAATAAGTTAGGTATGGAATTTTTAATGTAAAAGTAAAATTGATCTGTTCTCCGATGATCATACATCAGCATACAGTTAAAAGGAAAACAGAGTTTAAGCAGTTGCTCAAAGCCTGGATTTAAGACCACCAGCAACATTTTATGCAAGAATTATAATCAATTGTTTCAATATTCTGACCATAGCAGGGTTACACTGCAGTTACATAAAGCTACGGAAAGCACTAAACTGTCAATGCCTTGCAAAGCAATTTCACAGTTTGACTTTGTTTATTTATTATTCACTCATTGGATCATTGATCAGCATATCACTTAATCTAGCAGGCTCTACATAGGTGGCAGGTGCTAGTTGAGTAACACATTGTTTTTTCTTTCACTGTTGGATTGGGGAAAGAAAACACTATGAGAATCCAAAGAGACACAGCCAACCCAGGCAGGAGGAAGAAGAAAAATCAGGGCGGGCTCCTTAAAGGGGCGCCCGCACAAAGGTGTGAGGTGCTGACTGCAGACACAGCAGGACCACCCGGACTGGTAGGCAGAACCGGGAGACAGTGGCCCAGGGTGGCAAGGTGACACTGGTCTCAGTCACACAGGGTGAGTACTGAAGAACCCACTTTCATCCCATTGCCGTTCCATACTTATATGCAACGTGTTTATGAAAGGTAATTGTAACAAACCCCAATGAACAGGTACTGTTTTGTCATAGAACCATTTACTCTATGAAATAGAACCTTTTCCGTTTAGTTTTCAAGATCAAAACTGCATTCCAGCATTTATCCCAAAGCAGGATATGTTGTTGACAATTCACGGTTCAGTGGAAAATCTGGGGACAAATTCTGCCATCAGCTATTTGAACTACTGTAGTTCATTAAGAAGTTTATAATAATAAAAATAAAATGTTTTTTCTACCTAGGGTTAAACATAGGGTCACAATCAGAGAGCAACTTTAAAATACTTACTTTTAGTTCATTGTTTGTGAGAGTAAAGGTTTCATTTGAAAGAGGATCCACAATCAAACGATAAGTTATGTTATTATTGGGGAAAGCTCCATCCTTATCAGTGCAGGCCAGAGAGACTACCAGAGTTTCAACTGGGATGTTTTCAGCAAGCTCAATTCTGTAACGGGTAAAATATGAAAAAGAGAGTTGTAAAACATGTAAATCTAGACTATGCAGTTGATCACATTAAATATTAAAGGTGTTTTATAACAGGCTGACATTACAAAACAACCGCTTTGCCAATAAGGAAATCACAGCATTGGTCAAAATTCATAGAAAAGATGGAGCCAGCATCCTTGCTAAGACCAGGGGTAGTGAGCTGCTGATACACTGCACTAATGCAAAGCAAATTTACTAAGACAGATATGTGGTTGAGCAAAACGATAATTTATAACTAAAATTCACAACCTTAAATTTGTCAAACCTAGGGCTCCCTGGGGCCTCCGCTCCTTAGCAGAACCATGCTTATTCTTTTAGGTGGACGCAATACCATGGTACCCATAAAATGAGGTCAGTGAGAACTTCAGGCGTTACACTTGCTCGAAAGTGAGCAGGCTGGCTGATTCCACCAGCATCCCGTCTGCATACCCCTGCATACCCCCAGCTTCTCTGACCCTCCTCACTTGGCTTATGTCACAAGAACTGGCAAGTGAAATGGAAGTGGAACGCGGAGGGCGGGCACGAGGTAAGATGATTGAAATTTGGAGTATCGCCCACGTGCCTTCCCCTCTTTTCTCTCCATGTGGCTGTGAGCAAAAGCCAACAGCAATCGAATAAATTAGTCTCCCTGAGACACAGGGGGAGGACACCACACCGCAGAGTCTGAAAGCTGGGCTGTGGCCTCTGGAGGTCCCAGGGATACCCCGGGGACAGAGCCCGTGAAGCAGGTCTTAACGTCAACAGGCACCTGGTGGTGATTATGTGGACCACAGCAAACCCCAATCCTTGTGTTTTTCCTCTGCTTTAAAAGACTGTTTCTAACATAATCATTGAAAATAATTTAGGACTCAAAAAAATAATGAAATAAGAGATGAATTGCAACTTGTTCAGATGACAATTCTGTTCTAAGCACTAACTTTTCTAGTATTTCTTCAATGAAAATTAGTGTCCTGCTCTACAGAATACAAGGAAAAGGCAAGATACTCTAGGTGTGACCGAGGAACTAGTCTGCTATTCCAAACTTGATTTTTTAAGAAAAAAAAAATTCTAACAAGAATATTACCAACTAAAACTTAATTGTTTTATATTTAATTATTTTTTTTACTTGGTATATAAAACACATACGTATCTAAAAGGTACCTATCTCTGTGGTACAATGTGACATTTCAATACTGCCTACCTTGTGTGGTACTTAAATTAGATTAAATAAATTCATCCCTTTAGATGTTTATCATTGAAAAATGGTGAAAACCCTCAAAATCTTCTTAGCATTCTGAAGTGAACACAATATTGCTTTATCCGCAGTCAGCTTACTGCACAGGGTACATCACACCTTCTGGCTGCTAACTGTAATTCAGCACCCACCAGTCAACCTCTGCCCGCCCTGTCTCCCCACCACTCTCACAGGCCCTGGTTGTTACCCTTTGATTCCGCACTTCTGCAAGACTAGAAAATGTCATCCTTGAAGTGTGATCCAGCAAAGACCCTATTCCTGCATGTGGACATGTGGATTCTCTTCTTGCTTTATTTCTATATAAATGCTCGTACAAGGCACTCACGGGTATTCCACCCAGATACTTTCACACAGTATTACACACCATCACTGTGCTGTCGGAGTAAAGATTCAGGCTCAGCAGCACCCTACTGCTCACAGGAGCCGCTGTCTACCTGCCCCCCCACCTATGGCTGCTGGCAGCCCCCACAGGTGGTATTTTGATGTGAAGCACACTGACTTAGGCTTTCACTCTGGTTTTCTATATTCAGGTTGAGCACTCCTAATCCAAGAATCCAAAGGGAGAAATGCTCCAAAGTCTGTCATCATGCTAGCATTCAGACAGTTTCAGGTTTTGGAGCATTCCAGACTTGATTTTCAAACTTTTTTTTTTTGGAACACAAATAAAACAAGTGTCCTTGTGCCAGGAAGGAGAAGGGAAGAAAAATTATGTGGTATTTGCAACTAGGAGAAGAAAAGGTTGAAAAACTTTTGCTTCAGTCCAGAGAGGGCATGACGATTACCCATTCATTTCTCTCCTGTCCCTCTCCGTGCAAACCCTGAGGAGCAAGCAGTCCCAATCACCACTCACGTGTAAATGTCCTGGGAGCACTGAGGTGAGTTGTCGTTTACATCCTGCAGAACTACTGTGAATGTTCCAGTTGTCGAATGTACCCGCTGGTTGTCATAAGCTCTAACACGTAATACCCAGGACTTTGGGGTGCCTACATCTTCATAATCCAGAGGATAGGCAATGCTAACCTCACCTGAATCTGAAAAGCAGGCAGATTTAAAAAAAATACAGTCAGTATTTCTAAGAATAAGTTATGAGCTAAAACAATGGCATGGATAAAACAGCTTCAGGGATAAAATAGAGGCCAGCTGCCAACCTGGCAAGGGTCATGTGCTCATCACACTGCAAATCTGTGGGAACTGGGCTTGGAGGATGATGGGGAACAGACTGGAACCTCATAGACTGTAAGGATCAAACACATTTTACGGGAGGACCCCGGGGGTGCAGTGTGGAGCATGCAGTGACGGTCAGGCTGAGCATGGAAAAATGGGTACAGCGAATAAGAGGAGAAATAGGGAGATCTGCGAGGTGGATGTATGGGGTGAAAACTGGTAATAGGTTAACCGAGCATTGCTTTTTTGATGGGTTTTGTGCCTACATTTGCAGTGCGGAACAGTACGTGTTCACTCTGTCAGGAGCAATAGTACCCAGTGCTCTAGGTGTACACAGTGCTGTGCACGGTCCCTTCCAAGGTGGTTTCTCCCCAGGCACTGTGTTATCCAGTGTAGGAGCCCTATTTCCTTATTGTTTCTGTCTTCCTCATATCTGTCTGCTGTCTTTATCTACGCAATCATTTCGCTGCAATTGTATTTTTAACTCATTCTGTGTCTAAATGTTCTAAATACGGTGTCTCACTAACACGTGAGAAAGGTGCTGGACATAGGTGTAGTCATATAATTTCATTACGGCGCTCTTAGAAGTGACTCAGTCTTTTCGTGTAGGATCTCAAGTAACTGTTTTGGAAGTTATCATCTAATACTTAGTTAGAATGTCTCCGACTTAGCTAGTCAGGATTGTCTTTTCCAGGAACATTATTTGCTTTTTAAACTAACTTCCCATCTTTTACCACAGAATTGCGCCCTGAATGGTGCTTTTGCATGTTTGTTCCCAGGGCTTCGGGTTGCTTTCCTGGGAATTTTTAGAATATGACAGAAAGTGTCAGCTCTCCTCTATCTTCTATCACTGTCATTTTTTTCCTGTTGTGTCTATCTGTGTGCAATTAAGTCTTTCAATAACCACAAATTTGTGGAAAACATATTCTTTTCTTGAGAGCAGTTTCCTGACCTAGAGCCTCATCATTCCTGATATTTTAATGTGCATTTCCCAAAGGCAAAGATATTCTCCAGCACAGCCAACACACACACATCACAATCAGAACGGCCACGTGAGGAGGGCAGAGTGTCTCCTTCACATTTCACTGGTAGTCATAGTGCGCTTATAGCAGACACTTTAGCTTAGAATCACACATTGTCACGTCTCTTTAGACGTCTTCAGTCTGCAAAAGTTCTTCAGTTTTCCCTTGAGTTTTATGACCTTGGCCTTTTGAAAGATTAAAGGCTAGCAATTTTGGAGAATTCCTCTCCAACTGGACTTGCCGGATGTTTGCTCATGATTAGATGCAGGCTGTGAGCTTTTGACTAAATGTCACAGGCATCATGCTGCATTCTTGTTGTCTAACATTAGCTCATCTAGTGCTGATGACTATGAGGGGTTTCCCAGCACACTCTGTTTCCAAGTTACTATTTTACCTTGTGCGATACTTCGGAGGTGGGTCCTGGCTTTTAAAACTTTTTATCTATCACTTGAAAATTATACAAATTTTTAAAAATTTTAACAAATGCAAGATAAATTTAAAAGGATTAAAGAGAAATAGAATAAATAGAAAATTATGTAGTTAGGTACACTAGCCTAGCATTGACTCAAAAGAGCAAACTAGACTACTTGACACTTTAAGTTTTCTTTCAAAGTGAAAAAGGATAACTCCGATTACATAATTCTATGAAAGGCAGTTCTCTAAGGTAGGTCTTAATACATAGTTTACTAAAAAAACTGAAGGAAACATCAAATACCTACTCATATTACTGAGTATTGAAACTAGGTTAACATTCTGTTCCTCATCCAACTCTCAATTTATATACACATGTGTCTCTGTGGCCTCAGGGTGGTCCATTTTACATGGTGGGTTATAGTCTACAGCTATGAGAGTTTACATATTTTTACTGACATATACTCACTTTCTTGACAGTGTACTGCAGTATGATAATTATATGCATGTATGCAATGTGTAATACCAAATTGGATAATAAGTATGTTCATCTCCTTCAGTGTTACTCGTTGTTATGTACTGGGACCACTTGGGCTAGTCTAGCTGATGTGAAACGTACCACACTGCTGTAACCAGGGCTTATTCTCCCATGTTGTAGGAAGCCAGAACCAAGTCCTCCTGTCCAGCCTTTGCTAGCCCCACCCTTCCCAGGCATCCTCCCTGCCTTTCCATTCCCTAGTGACCACTGCACCACCATGGTCTCCGGTGACATCAACTTCTCAGGGTATGCAAATAATTATTTTGATATGCAAATGTCCTAGCACTGGTTAGAGGAGTTTGTTGTGAGAGTCTCATTATGGCATTCTGACTGGCCCTGATTCACAGTACAGCTCAGGCTGGCTCAGGTTCCCAAATACTAGAATGATGAGCCTGAGTCACCACTCTTCAAAGCAGATGGACATGGCTTTCCTCGCTTCATGCATATGTGATTAGAGACATGAGCCTCTGACTTCTGGTCATGCAAAAGGAGCATGGCATCATACATTGCAGGCATCATAATCAAGAAGACTGATATCAAGGGCAGATTTGCCACCCAAATTAGTTGCATGAATTTAGATCGATGGAAACCCCTCCAGTGACAGCTTCTGTTAGATGAGAATTGGGAGAGTAAGATCACATGGACATGATTATATACACAACATTCTTATGACAATGTATGACCCAGATTAACTGTTGAATCTACATTAACTAGTATTCTATTTTTCGTTGGAAAATGCTCAGAGAAAAAAGGCACAATGCAGTCCTGGGAAACCAGTTCTCTGTCCAGATCATCTAGTGTCTCCTGGAGAAGCCCGGCATCAGAGGAAAAAGCAGTGCTTACATTTACTTCAGAAAAATGATGTGAAAATACTGACAAATATGTTACAGATGACTTCATCCTAATAGAATAATAGATTATTAGAATAATGGGCTAATGGAATGATAGGATATTTTTGAACTGGTGAAAACCATGTCACATGGTGTTTTGTGAAAGGATTCGCCACAAACATTACCATACCTTCATTTATAGAAAATTCTTTGTGGGTCCCTATAAACTCATAGCGCACTGAGTCCCCAGAGTCTCTGTCTGTTGCTGTCAGCGTCACCAGCTTTGTCCCCACTGGCATATTTTCAGAGATGTGTACAGGAGCGTCTGGCAGGCAGCTGCAAGACACAAGGGATATTTTATTGCTCGATGCAAACAAATGTCTGTTTTCATCACACAGCAAATATTTTAAATTTCAAAGGACATGTACAGTAGCAGCTTAAAGCCAGTGGCTTCAAACCATTTGCAAATTGTTATATCTATTACAGAATGGTTATCTATTATAAAATGAACTTCATATTTTAACCATATTCTTCCTGTGGTCCGTCTACTGATTGGTAAACTATACTTCATGTCAGATTAAAAAAATCATCACCGCAGCAGAAATCACTTTTGCATTTCATACTCATTAAACATGGAAACATTTCAGTGTGGGCAAGCACTGATGGTATCCAAATTCTCTCCAGTGACTGCATCAATTCACAGTATGAACATAGCAGTGTGCATTTTCTGTAATATTTTACTTACAATCAATAGCAGGAAAATAGGAAAAAATTCTGTTTCATCAAGACAGTTCATTATCTTCTGTAGTTTTCATAGCAAAACTTAGAGTTGACTTTCAATGCAGGTAAAATAAACAACAATATAGAGTTTGAAAGACCTTAGCTATCTAAATTGCTTTGAATTTGCTAAAGAAATCTTAGAATGGAAATACTAGCAAAATATTGACATCCTAAACAGTTTCATGGTGAAATCCCAGCTCCTAAATATTTGGGTGACTTGGGGCTCACGTGAAGTCGGGGTGTTCGTCGTTGACGTTCTGGACCAGCAAGGTGACAGTGCCTGTGCAGGACTCCACGGGGCGCTTCCCTCTGCTGCTCACAGCAACCACTAACCTGAAAAGCTACCGTAGGCAAGAGGAGACGAGACTTACAGGGTGCTCACAAGGTACAGTTTCTCTATACATAAAATCCGTTTTAAAAATTAAAATTGAGGTGAACTTTAAAATTGGGGGCCATAAAAATATGTAACAATTTCCAAAACGCCTGAAGATCATTTGTTGAAGGATTTCTGCTTATTAATACTGTTGTCCAGCTGTGAGGAGCCCAGGTCCAGGTTTAACAGGTCTCTGCATGCTACATTTAAGGCAATATGTCAGACTAAAATTGACATGTAAAAATCAACAAATAAGTTGCTTCATTATTCAGGGCAAATCTGTGAAGCTCAACAACTGTCCTACTCCTAGAAGATTTTGAAAGATTTAGAGATATTTTAGAAATTACATTTTTAAAAATGTAAAATTTCATTTAAAGATGTTGTATTCCACCAAGTATTTGAGAAATGTAGCCTAATAAGTTCATAACCCAGTACAATGTACTCAACAAGTGTTTTAAAATTTTAAAATAAAATGTAACTCTGTAGTTAATGACGTTACACATATATGAAAAAAACCTTCAAGGCACATTGAACCCAGTGAACTTATTTATTTAGCTTCTAACTCAAGGATATTTTAAATTAAGAAGACACTGAAGATCACAAGGAGGGTTTTATAAATTGGACATTCACTACAACATTAACATTTATGCAAATTATTAAGCAAAAATCATGTATGGATTTTTTATTTAGAAACAAAATAATCAAATGAGAAGGTGTATACAGTAAGAAAAGTACATATAATTTGTACTTCACAAAAGCTAAATCTTAAAAATAAGAGTAAAAATGACATGGGTACTTTGAAATACAAATGCCAGTGAAGAAAACACTTTTTTATCCAATGCATCTATTCTTTACATTTTGAGTCTTTACTGGTAGCTAGAGTTCATGCTTTTATTCAAAAAATATTTCTTGAATACTGATTATTTGATGCAATGAGAAATCTTGTAGAAATAAATACTGAATTAAGAATAATACCATTTTTAAGAAACATCATTCTCAAAGTCCACATCACAAAAACAATGACTGCTCCAGGGGCATAACTGATTATCGCACAGTATTTATGGAAAAGCAAGGCACGCCACAGACTACCATAAGAAGGACTAGAGAGAAAAGCGTCCTGTCACCTTTCAAAGATGGTGCATGAATGCTTACACAGAGAAAATAAAAGATCATCTGAAATTATTAGAAGCCAGAAAGATTTTGCGATGTTACTATTTTCAAGGTTAAGGCACCCAAATACATACTTTCAGATATAACCATGAAAATGCTTAAAAATGAATGCTTAGCAATAAAATTCAAAATGTCTAGTAACAGGGTATATATGATAAGAAAGACAGAAGAACGTACAAAATGTTTTTAAAGTTTTGAGAGTTGTATATGAATGAAAGAATCTTTCAAGTTTATTGTTGATAAGCACGTCATTCTCTCCAATGTAACATATAAACTAGTGCAATTGAGATGACAGTGCCAGGGGGGCTGTTTAATAAAGTTAATCCCGAACACTGGGTGAAACAATGAAGAAACCAAGGAATGAAGGCATCTAATGGCCGCGATGGAGCCAGGCCAGCTGTGAGATGGGAGCCTCCAAGGCCAGAGTGAAAAGTGAGGTCAGGGAACCTCTCCAGAAAAATGGCTGTAGTGCTTTGGTTTTTCCTTTAACTCTTACATGATAAGAAAATTTCTGGACAAATCATTTGTAACTTAAAAAGCTATGGTCTAAAGGTGTGTGTTTTTAAAAATGTCTTGCAATTTACTACCGGAAACATTGAAAAATACTTAAAATATCCACAACACATTTCAAAGTTAATGGTCCCATTTTCCAGGACAATATGTTAGGAAACAGTAAATTGTGTTGTTTCTCCATCTGCTGAAAGACCTCTTCTTTTCAATTATTTGCAAGTTTGATATTTGATTGACATTTGAGAGAAAAAATGGTTAAATGAGGTCTTCACAGTCAAGTAAAGGCAGAGGTAGATGCATTTCTCCCTATGACTCAAGACTAAAAGAAACACAATTTTATTCAACTACATACAACATTGCCATAGTTCTAGAATTTGGAATATAGAGAATTCATTCTCCATCTTTGTACACACACACAGAAGCACACACAAAAATTAAAATTATGTTCTATAAAGTCTAAATAAAAAGTAAAGTGAAACAAATAGTATTGCATTCATACTTTTAAAATAAATTTTGATTCTAGGCAAACACTAAAATGCTATTAGTGCAAGTGTAGTAACTTCAATTTAGGTAAACTTTAACAATCATTTTAATATTGTAGAATATTTAAGTGCTCTGTTTCATATTGTCTCACCTTAGGATTTGTTTCATAGTCCAAAGGAGGCTCAGTGGTTTTGGAAATGATGCCATTCCACGAATCCAAAGCAAAATAGGCAGTGGCATTGCTTGAAGAATTTAGTATTAAAAACTTAGAAAAAAACCCACACAAACATGGTTAATACATCATTGGAAAAGCATGAATTCTGAACTGACAGTTCTGTTGCAATTATTTGGCAAGGGCCACAACAAAACTATTTTTTGCGAAGACAGTGCCCATAAATAAAAGCTGAACTTCCTCTTAGTTCCAGACTTCCAAACAGTGTGAACACTCTTCCACATAGTTAACGTATGTTTCCCATTGGTTTTTGTGCTTAAGTACTACAGCATTTTTGGTAAATAGCTGTCACTGGTTTCATAATTAGTTAGGTTGTGGTATTGCATTTACAGCTTTCTCCAATGTAAAACGACCCTTCCCTGTTTTATCTAAAGGAGACGCACTGAATTATTTGGAAAAAAGCCATTTGATCTCATCTCTGCATTGATTTTATGTCTGTCAAAAATAAGGTATTATTCTGACCAGAGTTACTGTTTTTATGGGCATCAACATAGGAATATTCATGGTTTTCACCCCGGTTGATTAACAGACCAATGTTCAAGATGAGTATTAAAGATTTCAAAAAGAATTTCACAAAAAAACTAAACTTTAAAATAAAAATTACACCCAGATTCTGGCCCAGAGAGAAATGATAGAACCTGGGAGACGTGCGATCCAGTGGCTTTTCTAAAAACATATGACAGCATTTGATGGGCTCATTAACTTACTGTCAGTCAGCAGGAAGTGAACAACCAAAGTTGGCCTGTATTTGACTAAATCCATTAAACATTTCTTATGGAAAAAGCTTCTTTAGTTTTTTCCTTTTTTAGGATGATTTTGGATTTATTACAATTATCATTTTCCAAGTCTTTGCTGTGTTTTTCTTCCCTAATGACTTTTACAGTACGATTTGAATTTGGTAACAGTTTTCATTCATAGAAATACACATGCAAACATATGACTGACTTAAACAGAGTCAGCCATACATACATGTGCGTGTCCTAGCCTAACCCCACACATGTGTTCCTATGCCTCCCGTGCACATTATTCCAAGGTCTACACACACACACACACACACACACACACACACACACACACACACTCATGCACACAGAGCTTCCGAGCCCAGCTCCCCTAGACTGGCTTCTAAACTCTGCCTAAAACTCCCGTGAAGTAACGCGCTCAGCTCACCTCCCTTCACTTAATCAAGTGACCATAAAAATCACCCTGTCTCAGTTCTCCAGAAAGCAGTTCTCGCAAGGTTTAGCTTCAGTGACATTCCCAAGTCATATTAATAAGCTAATATTTTTACAACAAACATGAAAAGATAGAAAATAGTTTAAGTCTGTTCTGTGGATAATTTGGCTCAGTCACTAAATTTAAGGCAGAATATTCCAATATATTAATATAATTTATAATACATAATGGAGAAACCATTTTTCTTAAAAAATTAATTCCACTATGGCTCATATTATACCATAAAAAATTTTGAGAAAATAATGTGAGGAATAAATTATATTAAATTTCTTTTTTACCCCCTCATAAGCTGTAACCATTTTGTCATCTATTACTTATTAATTCATTATTTCTTCTAAAGTATTGCTGAAACCAGAAATGACAATCTAAAATGTCCTTTATTCAAATTATGTGTCTCATGCAGAAAATATGCCCTCTTAGCATGAATAAACAGAAATTAACAAGGGAAAGGACGTCTTATGTGTGTGTAAATGTCATCAGATAAATGCTAATAAGTCTGCAAGCTCTAGTTCTTCAAGTGATCTCAGACCATTTCAGTCTGCTGCTTTCACTTCAAGGCACATAATTTTCATCCTATGTTACTGTATTCAGAGGTTCAACCTCCTTCTCTGACTTCAGTATTCATTGCAAGATGGAAACACTACTTAAAATCTGATGAAATAATTGTTTGCTCATTGAAAATTAAGCACTTCTTAAACCAGATTTGGGGAAAAATGATATTTAAAAAACTTACTTGAAACTTTTGTCCCGGACTTGGGTCTCTGGGAAGAATCATATATATAAAGGCCGATGCAGGGACATCTTCAGGAACCAACACGGACACCCCTGGACAGGACACCCGTCATGAGTGACAACTTACACTCAAGCATTCTCCTGCCACGGTTCGCTCCCTCTGGGGGCAGGAGTCAGCACGCTGCAAGAATTTCTGCTCTGATCATTTTTGTTTCTTTTGCTTTGCTTTTGTTAAAACAGTGCCTCCCTATATTGTCCAGGTTTTCTTGGACACCTAGACTCAAGGGGCCTTCCTACTTCAGCACCCCAAGACTGAGACTAGAGCTATCGGCACTGTGCCTGGCTTTCGTAGTTTTCTTACTGATATTTGTTCCAGGAAAAAGATGAAAACGAAAGGTATATGCTCGGTTTCACATTCATATTTAAGAGTGTTAACAAAACCAGGGTTGAGCTGTGTCAGTTTTTAGGTCTTGGACAATGCATGCGAGCAGATAGAACATGTCAGTGTCTGACACGACACCAGGGTCACTAAACTTTCTCAACTTTCATTCCTTTATGTTATGATAGTGAAGATTTTACTGGTTTCCACAAAAATGTGGAGAAAGTAGCACACAACCGAGAAGTCAGGAGCAAACCGCTGGATCCTTCTCGGCTTCTGCTCTCATCTGTACAGTGTGGACAGTGCGTGTCCGCTGCCTGACGAGGCTCTGAGAATTCAGTGACACCTCGCCCACGAATGTCACTTCCTCACCCCACACGCTGCTCTGTCCTTAGGGTTAGTGTGCATGGTATGGGTGTGCCTCACTGTGCCCCCGCCACAGAAGCAGACTCCTGAAAGGACCGGCAGGTGCTGCCCCTGCCACGTGACTCCACAAGGGACCCTGCACCACATTCGGGGTCCTTGTTACTGTGCGCTTAGCCGTGTGTGTCAGGTCCAGGCAGGATGTTGGGGAGCAATGTTTGTGTGGACGGGACAAGGTCCTGTTGTTCCTTTGTTTCAAACTGGACACAAAGAAGCAGATTCTCCTGATTTAGTCATTTGCTCTGGGTAATTAGACCACTAGATAACTAAACACAGTAGTACAGTGAGCATGTATGTCAAACCAGCATCTTGACCATCGTGAGAATACCCCTTTGTAATTTCCAAGAGACCACAGCGTTTGTTTATTAGGTAATTAGCTTTTCCCCTGCTTCCCCGCTGAGCCTGCGGTCCAGCCCATGTGATGGAAGGGACCAGTGTGAGAGCCGCGAGCTGGTGCAGCTGAGGCTGTGCTACGAGTCAGGTCACAGTGACCTCCCGGGATCCCTGTGTGTCTGCTTGGGGCTTATTATAATCTGGGGAGACTGAGATAAATCACAGAGAGCAGCAGACTGTTTCACCAGATTGATCCAATGATAGGAGCTTCACAAATACCAAACCCGAGGCTGACTCATGGCTCGCCTAGGCTCCTCTGTCTCGGTCTCTCAAGTTCAACCTCTAAGACCTGAATTCATCGTGCATTTCTGTTGCAGATAAATTTATTATTACACTTTTCAAAAAGTACATTGTTACACCTTTCAGAAAGTACAGAAGTGTGTGTGTGTGTGTGTGTGTGTGTGTGTGTGTGTGTGTGTTGCTGAGGAGGTGTTTCTAGTGGTGAAAAAGGGGTGACACTCCTGAGAAGCCACAGGAGGACACAGCAGTGGAGGTGGGAGGATGGGGAGGGTTCCACGCGGTCTGTCTTATTCCCCTTCCCCTTACTTCTCCTTTTCTCCTGCTTAGTTTAGTGAGTAATTTCTCTTAAAAGTAGGGAGAGGAAGAAAAGTCAAACAGAAAAGGTAGGAGTCACGGGGATTTAATATGCTAGAGGACTGAGCAAGTCAGGGTATCAATTCAGAACGGACCACTAACGAGCAAAGCGGGCATAATTGTCGCTTTCCAATTTCCCCAGCCAAGACTAAATCAAGCCGGTGACAGCAAGTTCTCCAGTCCACTCAAGCCCTGAAAAGACAGCATTTCTGGGGGGACACCCAGGAGAGCACAGACAGGTGAGGTTAGGAGCCGTGCGTTGGTTTCTAATAGGCAGGCACAGAGGAGAACGCACGGGTCATTATTTTGCGCATAGCTGTCTGCTGACCCCAATTAACATCTGATTTTTTTAATGAAAGGAGTAAAGGCATAAACACCATTTTACAATACTGTAATTATGACAGAATTTTCAGGGATACATCTATTTTAGTCATACTGAAAACACTTCCATACATGGTATTAATTCTATTGTAATAAATATGACAGCAAACCAACATAAATAAGTACTTTTTGGGAACAAAGAAATCAAATGGAATAATTACTTACTATTACAAGTAGTGATTTTTATTCAAGAAGGTGAAATTTTATAACTAAAATTTCTAATTTAAGAAACATTAAAAATTAACAGTAGAGTATGTTTATTAAAAAGTTAGTAAAGAATAATTTAATCTTACAAAAAGAAATAATGACCTTCTGTAAAATAGCATGTGTGATTATAATTATCAATAGCACATTTTTGTACACAAAAAATAAGGGACCTATTTAATGTTTATGTTCTATGTCATCTGTAGCTTATGGCTTTTGAACACATAATCTTCAATGGCTAGGAATGAAATGTACATATCACCTTAGAGTTAATTTTTCACTACTACACTTTTTGATTATTTCCAATACTATGTTGTTACAAATTCTACAACATCTTAACTATATACCCAATATTTTCATAAACTCTAAGAAACAGAAACACTGGAACAAAGCTTATAATCAGCTTTCAGCGTAAATGTTCACTACGGTGGTTTCTGTATGTTTCAAAATTTCTGTCTTAAAAAGTGCTAATTCCTTTATATCTCAGAGAATGGTACTTTTTAATGCATTATTTCTATAATCTGACAATTTAGGAGGTGAAAGTTAATAATTAGAGTTTTATGTTACATGTTATGTTACAGATAAACGTAGAATAATTTTGCCCTCAGTCCACTCCCTATCCATCACAGAAAGAAATAACTAGAATTGAATTTGAACTACATTAACCTCGATTCTTCCCTCTCAGGCACGTGAGATGCTTCTCATTTAATTTTTTAAAATTTTCTCCTTTATAAGTCTAAAGAAAGTATAATTCTACAATGCCAGGTTTTGTTCCAATATTTTAAAAATATTATTTCCACATCACCGTTCCTTGTTTTAAATAAAATGGACTTGAAACATACCTGTTAAAAAACTTAGATCACAGAAAATAGGGTCATTCGCACTCTCCACTCTGACCGTGAACGTGTAAGTGCTGGTATTATTCCCGCTGTCTCTGGCCTCTATTTCCAAAGAGTAGGCTCTGGAGTTGTTTGGGTAGTCAAGATTCAAAGGCCGAAGAAGAGTGATTATTCCTGTAGCTAATGAAAGAAATACAGTGACAGTTAATGATCTCAAACAAGTAAGTCTATGTGAGTTGACTTACCTGGAGGATGTTTTAATTCACTTATTTTTCCCTGCAGAAGGAAGTGGTATTTGGCTATTACACATTAGTTGGTAATATTTCTTTAAAACTTTCTATACATCTTAAGCTTAAAAATAATCATATATGTAAAATTATTTGATCATACTTCCCTTCAAGTCTCTAAATTGGTACTCTTCTTTTGTTTATGGAGCAAAGGAAGCTGCCTGACTTGAAAAACATCAAACACAAACCACTGCACTTTATTTTTATTAAAACAATAAAGCTATTGGCATTTTTTGCCTGAAAAACTAGCCAAACTATGTTAGAATTATAATCATTCATTGCTTCTGCTGTGAAGTTAATCTCATCTCACAAAAAAAGATGAAAAAACGAGCTTGAGGGTCAAACTGAGGGGGGTTTTCAAAGGCAGAAGAGAGTAGCCGTCCCTGGCACAAAACGTGCTGCCTCAGTTTCCCCTGCTTTGCTCTCCTGGGCTTTGACCCCATGCTGGATGTCTGTGTGACTCTGACACCTGGATCTCGCCTACCTCTGTTTCTCTCGCCTTCCTTCTCCCCCTGAAATGTGCATCTTGAATATAAATGCATAAAGTGCCAATTGCCCTAGGGACTTAAATAAATTATTTCACATATGGGATGCTCAGTGTTATCACTTTATAATGTGTTAATGTTACTACATTAAATCACACTCCCAGAACCTATTTCTTGTATGTTTCTGGTTTTGTTGGCCTCCAGGGAGACCTGTGACCACCATGGAGTGCAGGGAGAGCCAGCAGCCTTTTACTTGTGCCCAAGTTCAGCCTGGTCCATGGTCCACTGTTGGCACAAGCCTGCTTCTCTGACTTCTAGAACAGGCACGTGCATTCTGGCCTGTGGCCAAAGGTGCCCAGCTTCTGCAGGGCAAGAGGCCACCAAGGTGAGGGGCGGGAGCCTTCTGAGGAACAGGAGTCCAGCATGCGCTTCTGTGTTCCAGCCCATCCTTCACCTCCCTCTGCACATCCATGTCTTCCCAATTCCTGCCCCAGGGACCTCAAGCTCCAGCCTCAGACGCAGCAACCTTTCAGAGATGCCACAACCCATCCCCATACTATACTTGGGTGCTTCTGTGTGCATGGACCTGGGACTGATAACACTGGGAACCAAGTCAGCCTGTAATAGAGAAGCATTTCAGAACCGTAGTCCAGTCCACACAGACAGAGCCATGACCTCAATCAATAGTGATACAGGAAAAGTCCCCAGCTGTGGCGATAGCTAGGGCTGTGTGTCTGTAGTTTACGAGGATTTCACACACGCCTTTGTACCAATTATCTTTGCAAGATGGTGGCCAGTTATAGAAGCCAGGTTTTTACATCACTCTTTATTTCCAAAGAATGCCATTTTAACAAGAGAAAAATAGCCCGTATAAATGCCACATGTTTTTTTGGTTTTCCTGCTCCATGTTTAATTTTGCAAGGATAGTTTTGCCAACTCTAGTTCTGAAGGGAGTGAGGAGATTAGATAGTGGCTGTTTAGCCAAAGCAGACTAGAAGAATTTGTCCAAAACTTACCAGGGTCCAAGCCAAACACCTCCTGCTGAGTTGTAAAGGAGTAAGTAATGCTGTCTTCATCTGGGTCTGTTGCCCTCACTCTTGTGACAGTTTCTCCAATGGGAGTCTGTTCAGTCACATTAATGGAATCCAAAGGAAATGGTCTAAGGGGGGAAATGGCGATGGGAAAATTGGTGATGATAGAAATCTGCAGATCCTTACACATACAATTTTCAAGGGATGATGACCTGGCCAGTTCCAAATCCAGTCAAATGTAAGGAATTTATTGGTAGCATAGGGGTTATTTTTTTTAACACAAACATCACTTTTCAACTATCCAGTATTGGCTACAATGCCAGAGATCAAAGATATTGTGACAAAAGAGAGGAAAAGTGAAAACAGAATAGGACTGTGAGCTTCTATTATTCCACATATCCAGTGTGTGGAGTAGCTGGCCATTGAACATAAGGAGTGTAATATATTCATTTTCATCCTGTTATCTGAGGTGATGAAATGCTGCCTAAAGCAATAGCTCATTAGAACAAGTTGTCGAGATTCCTATAATTTTACAGTTCATCCTTTAAGTCATATGAAAGCCTCTGGTCATATCTAGAACATTTCAGAGGCTTAAGTCTCTTAATCATGCTTCCGTTGAGATGCTGTTTATGGAGGACCTATCACGTGTCAGGCACCTCATGCAAGTTGGACAAACCTTAGCTCCTGAAATGCAGGAGCTCACTGCCAAGAGGAGTGACAGTCACCCAGCCACATAATGCCATGTGATGGACGCCGAAACCTTCCTACAGGTTTCAGGAGAAAGGAGCACCAGTTCTGGGGATTGGAGAGAGCTTCCAGAAAATCTTCAAAGGAACATGAGGGTGAAGGGAAAGGGAGGAGCATGATGCCATTTCGGGGTGACCTCCGTCACCACAGCCCAGTGTGGATCTTCAATCATCACACTTACGTTCTCAGCTTTTTATTTCATTACTTGTTTCTTACTGTGCTGTATCTCAAGAGATGAAAAGTATCTGGAGGCAACATTTAGGTAATTTGGTACTGCTTATAATATCTACTATTAAATGCTATTACATTAATCAAAGTAGCAAATACATTCTTATGAACCGAATGAAAGCAACAGAATATTAATCCTAAAGACTGCGGGCTCCTCTGCCTCAAACTCAGGTGGGCAAACGGGCAGCTCTTCCAACGAAAAAGGGACAATCTAAGCTCCAGGTTCGCTTCTGTTTTCAGATGATAAAGACAGTGGATTTGTGGGTTTCACGGAGTTACTCTTAGGCACTGTAGAGGTGCAACTTGCTAATATAAGAAAAACAGTTTAAAAACTACCATTTTCATTTTTACGGATCTAAGAGGAAGTATTTGATCACCATTAGATTGTAATAATATATCTGGGCATTATATTTTCAAGAATAGGACAATATCTAAATTTGCACTTATGAGCTGAAAACTTTTTTGAATGCTTCAACTATATTTCAGGAACATGAAAATTAGAATACTTAAGCATTTTAAATTAGGTTTTAAGGTCAAGTTTTTATTTAAATTCATTGTAACTATCAGGGTGGAAAATAAATCAAAATTTTTAGCCGTGTTACATGCTGATCATTTCTAATTTGCTTTGCTAGGCTGAGTAGCTCAATGGCACAAGCATCTGCCTGGCAAGTGTGAGGTTGTGAGATCGATCCATGGCACCAAAAAAGTAAAATAAATAAATAAAAAATCTTGTTCAGTGCAAAGGCAGAGGTTCAATTCCCAGTGCCGCAAAAATAAATTTTCTTTGCAGTACTTTCTAATGTATATCTCACTTTTGATCAGCACATGTACTAATCACAGATATAACTTCATACAGTTTTAACAGAACATCATAAACATGTTTTGTATAGCTACATATGCATTATTTACAATTTACATGAAAGTTTTCTTCACCCATTCTCCTGTGATTGCACTTTGAAATCAACATGCTTACTCAAATTGAGGCCTTTCGTCGTTTACGTTTCTAATCTTGATAATTATTGTTCCTTGACAAAACAGACCTGTGGTGTCCGTCGCTCTCAAAGTAAGCTGGAAAGCCTGGAAAACACATTTTAAAAATTTTACAGTAGACTCTTTGGTAATGCACATACTTCTACATTGTGTTTCCTGTTAAGGTGGGTTTTGTTTTTTCCAGTGGGACACAACACTTTATTCCTCTTCTAGGTAATTAAAGGAAACGTAAGGGCTTTCTTAGCTGGATTAGTGGTAAACTTCAAAATGGCTTCATTGAATAGGCCATTACATTTCATTCAGAGGTCTGTGTAAGTGGGCTGTTTGCCTAAATGTAGACGAAATTCAACAAAAAATGTGAACGAATTCTACAATCACTTGTTTACCCCACTTCCAATGCACTGAAAACTGTCAGAGCCAGCTGTTGGGTGTTGAGCGCTGAGAAGGGGGCCATGAGCCGCTCCTGGGGTCAGGATGTGATGCAGTTTTTGAAAAGCTGAGAATGTCTTTGACCTCCAATATATTGTGTCAACCTGTCACCCTTCTCACCCTTGTATATTCACTCCTATTAGCAAGTGTAGCCTTGGAGAAAAACATAAGGAAAATCTGCCTGTTGCCAAGGTAGGAAGCAATCCACCTCTGTGGAGCAAGCATCCTGTGTCCCCAGCAAAGCCCAGGACCCCACGCTGAGGCAGGGCGCACAGGTGGCCCTGGGTTTCCGTCTCTGGGCTGTGTGACCTTGCGTTACATCTTACACGTGGGTCATGAGTATGTGATGGTGAGATGAAGAAGGCTGTGAGGTACTTGCCATCACTGACTGAGTGTGTGAGGAGCGGCTGGACCAGAGGGCTCCTCTACCCAGCCCGGGTCTTCTCCACCCGATCTCATCCTCTCGGACAGACGCTTAGCAATGGAACTGTGTAAAAGCCGTGCACCGTTGCCTCTGCATGGTCTTCCCCACCCAAAACACAATTTGAATTTGAACGGAATCCATTGACTGCTACCATTTATTCTTTAATACTAGACAGTGGAGACCATGTTCAACCGCGAATTTTTCTTTCTCCTAAACATATCTAATCAGTGGTAAATTATCTGTTTTTATTCTAATGTCTTTCATTTCCTTGTTTCCCATACTTTCTCTGTCATCTACCTGAGTTATTCCACGTGGAGGAATTTCTGAAAATAGAAACGTTTTTTCCAGTAACAGACAGGATGACGCTGATGATCGTGAGCACCTTACTCCTCACACCTCATCGTTGTGTGAACACACAGCTCAGCAGCCATCCAGCTGGTTTCCTTCTGGGTATTTGTTCCTACTTACAGAAACTTCATTTTCACTCCACATTAAAAAAAAAAAAATAGTCCCCAAATGCTTCCCTTAAATGTATTTCTCGTAGAACTGTCAGAAATCATCTTCTGTCCTATAGCATTGATTTCAAATTCTTCTATAAGATTCATACTTTGACTATTTAAGTGCCTTAACATTTTGGATATGTCAGGATATGAAAGATCAAATAATTCCAATATAAAAATATGACTGTTTTTAATTTCTTCTATTTTTTTTTGATGTTTAGAAAGATTTAAATAGTAATGATCTCCCAGTCTGATTTTTCTTGATGAGCAAGACATACAAAATCTATTTTTTTCCCTTGAATTTCTTTAGGTAGACCTAAAAAGTTAAGACATAACCCCTCTGCTCTGGTACCCATAAGTTTTGTACTTAGGAGTTTGGTTAACTATACAAATTCTTTCACATGAATCACACAAAATGTTACTCTTCCTATAAATAATATGGCACTTAATTTTTCATGAATAATTCAAAATTATGAAAGCTCCCTCTTATTTGCGTAGAAAAGTAAATAAGTTAATTACGTGGTATCCTCTGTCAAAGTCCAAAGTGTCTTCTTTCAAGCTAACAACACCATTTACAGCGTCTACTCCAAAAGCGTTCCCTCCTTTCTCAGGTCCAGATAACTGAGTCTCAAGCGTGTACTGGAAAAATAAATATTCATTACTTACACCAACAGAGATGCGAAGCATGAAGATATAATAATAAAACAAATCTGTAGAAAGCCTCCCATCTTTGCACTAATTAACTTCAGTATTTTCTTTGTGGTCTGGCTGTTACTAGGACCACTAACATATTCTTACAGTTGGATTGTTCAGCCTAGTAACCAAAACATTTGCTGCCTTTTAGAACTTTAAAAAACTGTGCATTTTCTAAGACAATTCACAAAATGTTTAATTCTGACTCTGAAAATGCAACTCTGAAAAAATTTGCGAAATAAACTCATTATCACAGTTTGAATATTACAAATCAGAGTAGAATTACTGCAAATTAGAGTGTGAATCCTATTTAAATATTAGCACCATCAAGCACACAGTTCACGATTTTACGTTCATTTCACTTGTAGGTTTGCCACCACCTCTGAGAAAGTGTGGAAGTAGGTAAATCTCACAAGTAACTGAAGAAAGCAGTCTAATGAGAGATAAAATTCATTAAAGAATAGCTTACTGACTCTGATGGATTTGTTTTTAAACCAAAATTCATTCTCTCCTCTAACAATATTTCTTAGAACACAAAAGTTTAAAATAACCACCTGCTAATCAGCTTGCACTCTTGCAAATGACAGGCCTGGTGACCCCTGCTCTGGGCTGGCCCATGGGTTTCCCTTAATCTACTGAAAAGGCGTCATGTATGGGGAAGACCTCATGTTTCCTCACAATTTCATATCAGCTGGTCTGCAAAAAAATATGTTAGGAGCACTCCGCAGATAGTTTATGGATACTTGACTGACAGCAGCACATATGTCACTGAAAGTCAGGCAAAAATAAAATATATATGTAATTGTGGACCAAATTGTGGAAATCAAGAGATTCAGCAGCTTCCCGAGGACTGCCCCCTAGCTAGTAGGATGTCACAGCTTCTCCCGAGTCACCAGGCAGCCCCAAGGCCACCGGGAGCCCCACAGCCTCACGCGTGGTCACTAAAGTGAACGGTTGGGCTGTCAGTCTGCATGGAAGAGGAGCGTGCTGGCCTAGGTGCACCGTGGGACTCTCCAGACAGCGCTTCTTGGGCTCATCTTGCCAAATTTCCTTTTTGAAAAATTACAACTATGATGCACACGTGCACAGTCACGGGCACGTGCGTCACGGGAGCAGCCGAAGAGGAAATCGCGCTGGTGCACGCCCAGCAGGCGAGGCCCGCGCTCCGCAGGTCCTGGTCTGCAGCCTCCGCCTAAGCACGCGCTTGCACCTTCCCGGGCACCTTGAGGACCCTTGTTAGGCTCCGAGAGGCTCCTTAGGGAAGCGCACGCAGTGCTCACAGGCCTGCAGGAGCGGCCTGGCGTGGACACCACGCGGTCACCCACCGTCAGCCTGTCCCCGTGCACCGAGTCCTGGTCCGTGGCCGTCACTCGGTAAATGGGCTGAAAGAGTGGGTAGTCCTCGGCGATTTCCACAGCAGCTGTGAAGCAGAAATCAGCATGTTTCAAAGGCTGCAGTGCTCTTCGCGTTCCCTGCCTTCTTAGACAGACAGGGCCGCCAGGGCGCTCACGCGGAGCAGAGCAGAGGGGAGGGCGGGCTGCCCGCTCCTCACGTCTGTGATTCCTGACTTGATTTTCACCCTGCTGTCAGAGAGCGCCTTTCGCTTGCTTCCCACAGCATTCTCTGCAGCTAAGGTGGCAGGTGTGTGCACAGTTTGTTCTGCGGGGCAGTGGGTGAGGCTTGGCATCACAAAAGAACACTGATTCCTAGGCCCGGTGGGGTATCAGAGAAGGAGACTAATCAGCCCCAGCCTCAGACCCCTCCAACCTGGGCCTGCCGGGACAGAGGCACCCGGGAAAGCGTCGGGTTTTGTTTTATGGAGTTCTAGTGTATGTTTGTGACTGTGTGTGGGTGCATGTGTGTGTATGTGTGTGTGTCTGTGCACGTGTGTGTGTGTGTGTGTGTGTGAATTTCATTACCACTCCCTGAAATATGAACTTGAAATAACATTTAGCTTAAATTTGAAAACAAGATATTTTAAATATTCTATTTTTTATATCAGTTGACAGGTAATATATAAATATATATCATAAAATTAAATATTAAGTTGCCAACTAAGTTTAATTTCTGTAATGTAGCCACAGCTAAAGAGAATGAACAGGAAATTTGGGGTGGAAGATAAAGATGTCTGTGGAGAGTTATGTCTCCCAGTGTTTTCTTCAAAAACAATGAAAGATAAAACAGAAATAACATTAGGCCAAAGCCATGCGCTCCATGTATCTTGAAGTTAAAGCATGACCAAACTTCATTAACTTTAAGAAAATTTTAAAAAGAAAGAAAGAAACTCAACAAATCCACTTTCCATACACCACTGAGGATTTGCACCAAGCCAGGGAGGACTCAGAAAAACTATAGCTCAGAAAAAAACAAATAATAAGACTGACAACAAATAAATCTGTAATTATTACCAGAAAAATCAAGTCTCAAGTGTGAAAAGCCAGAAAGTTCTATTGTTGCCTTGCAAGGTTGTACTACCCAGAGAATCATAAAGGAATAAAGACACTTCGTCAAACTATGTTTGCCTAAAATCAATAACCAAGAATAGAATTCATCTTATGATAAATATTGTAAGTAGGGTCATGACTGAAGAAAAGCACCCTAGAAATTACAGGCGTGCAGAACTCATGCTGCAGTTAATCAGAACTTAATTTTTAAAGCTTAATTTTTGAACTTCCCAAATGGTTGAACAGATGTCAGGTTTTTGACTCTTGTGAAGTCTAAGCCTGAGCTGTTAAATCTGCGAAGACAATCACTGGGCAGTCACTGTGCCGCACTCAGGCTCCTGCTCTTACTCCTGACTCTCTGCAGCAGGTACCCACCCGGCGGTCTCTTGCTGCAGACCTCTAACCCTTCCCCTGTACTGGTGTCCACCGGAGACAGCGCTGTCCTACCACTCGGTGTAAACGGGGGCATTAAAGCCAGCGAGAGCTGACCTTCTTCTCCCCCAGAATCAGAATCTGCACCCTGGATCCATTTGCACCTTGTTTTCTGCTTCTAACTTCCAAGGAGAGAGCTTCATCCCTAAGTAAAATAACCTGTCTCTCCTCTTCTCCTTTCTCAGGACTCGGCCCTAATTTTACCTGCCATTGTCAGTCTCTCCCTGTCTTCCACTCCTTCCCATGGTCAGCTGAACATGCTGACCACTCTTCTTTCACTAAAGCACTCTTGACCTCAGATATCTGAACAAGGATTCTCTCTTTGTCCTGCCCTTTGGGGTCACATCTCCTGGTCACTCTTTATTCCTCTCTATAAACAGAAACTCATTCCAAAAAGCTATTGGTGAACTCCTGCTGCCAGACCAGAGCTACTCAGTGTCCATCTTATTTGACCCTCTGGAAAGTTTACACGATTGACTTTTCTTTCTTTTCTTGGAAGAGAAAGAGCATTGCACATCTGTAGGAATTACTCGAAAACTTCTGAGAACCTCTGGAAAATTTCCTGGGAAAAATTGAAATTGGCAAGTTTCCTGAACTGCCATTAAGTTCTCGGATCAGGCAAAATCTTTATTATAGCTTTCCAAATCCTACCAAAGAGTGTCTTAAAAACCTGCAGTCTGCTGCTGGTTCTTCTCATTCTATCATTTTTTTCAGTTGCATTCTCTACCCCTCATATTTTAGCAGGAAGAGAAGACAGGAAGTGAGGGAGTTCTGGCTCTCCAGAGCCCCCCCAAATCCAAATGAGAGCCCCGGAGAGAGAACCTGGGTGCAGCATCATCCCTTAACCTATACATTTTAAAAGGAGGATTCCAATTACTACTCAAATCCAAAACCAGTATCAAAGCTTGAGGTGACTTTATAAGTGTGTTTCCTTAGGAAAATAAGCGTACAAGTTTATCAAAAAAAAAAAAAAAAAAAATCAGTAGCAGCAAAACTTAGTGAAAGACAGCTCTTGAATCCAGAGGTATAAATGTTACACATCCAAATATAACTAAAGTTCCTTCTATAATTATTATTGTTATTAATTTATCTATGTATTTTTTGGTACCATGAATCGAATTCAGGGTCTTGTGCTGGCTAGGCAGGCACTGGGCCACTGAGCCATATCCATGGCCCTTTCTATGATTATCCAACGTGACATTTGAATACATTACAATGGTTGCATACACAAATAATCCTACTTTGCTTTCTGTAACCGACTTAAAACTAGTTAATATGAATCACTTAATGGATTGAATATTTGGTTTTGCTTCATGAGGTCCAAACTTCAAAATGATAAGTTTTTAATTTTATTCTATTTGTAAAAGAAATTTAAAATTTGCATTCATGATTTTTCAAATGAAGACATAGCATATCTATTTTGCTACTACTGAATTTTTAACTGCAATAATAAAGAATATTTCTTTCAATCACACCTAAATAGAGGTCTTACACTCAATAATACTCTTTCAGATGTAGGACTAAGCATTTAAGCTGAAAGGGAAAAAAATCACGTCTTCAAGACATTTTTAATTTGTGAGCTACAGAAGTAAATCAAAATTATGTATATAGATTTATAACTATTTAGAAGACAGAGGAGTAGGCAGGACTGATGAATCATTTATGCATCCTGAACTTCAATACCATCTCTTTGTCACCTTTCTGTCTTCAAGCTCCCTGCTGAATCCTCCCCATTTGTTTATAAAGTCACTCATGCTCCTTTTAAAAGAACTAACCCAGACAAACCTAGAAATCAGTGACAGTTCTGCGGTGCCTTCCCCCCAGTTCATGCTCCAACTTCTAAAGAAAAGTTTGGCCTCTGCACAATCCCATGAGCTATCCGCTTCACCCGGCTTCCTCCCTGAGCACCTGTGAAATCCTGCTCCGACTCAGCAGTCACCACCCTGCCTATGTCCCTAAGGAAACGCAGTGGGCACCATCGGGGTCCCCCTCTGGCTGAGGACATCAAGCCTGCTGACCCCTGAACTCTTGAAAGACCCTCTCCCCGTGCTTGGGGCATGGCTCCCCCAGCCCTCCAGCTCCTCAGCTGCCTTCTCCTTGGCAGGCTGAGTTGCTTCCCATCCTTACATGGGAGTCTTCCAGGTTTGGCCCCGTTCCCTCCTTTCTTCTAATTCTCTGATGTGACTGAGTCATTACATCCAAATCCATGGTTTCAATTACCAAACATTTATAGCTCTAAGCGAGACCGCTGAGCACAGCTGCTCACTTAAATCCCTCCTGTGATAGAACAAAGGTTTATCGAGCTGGACATGATTGAAAGTGAACTCAGGAGTCTCAAAGTTCAGTCTGTTTCTAGGTTTTTCCTCTTGTACTTGAGACCCACAGCATGTATGCCAACCAGAACCTGAAATTCCTCCTCTCTTCCTTTATACTGGATTCATGGTCAGTTCATCTCCTACCTGATGTCTCACGATGACCCCGGAGAAAGTATTCAGCTTCCTCCCTGGATTACTGACATAACCTTAGCATCGCACGTTCTCTTTTTACTCCATAGGTATTTTAACTTCCCCCACGAATCAAACCTAGATTGTCATTTTTTTGTATGCTCTGTGAACTAAGAACAGTTTTTATACTTTTAAGCAAAAGTGATTTTAAAAAAAAACTAAATATGACTAATATTTTATAACAGGATATTTGTATGACATTCAAATTTTACTGTTCACAAATAAAATTTTAACAGAACACACATACACGCACTTCTTTTAGATTGTCTCTGTCAACATTCCTGCTACCATGGCGGAGCTGAGAGAGGGACATAAAGATTGTATGCAGTATTCTAACGCAATACGGTGAACTCCAGAAATCGAGTCACACGAGGACTCTCGGTATCATATAATTCTGCACTACCATGCTTGACCATCATGGAGAAACAAGAAAAGTGAACATTGAATGATACATTTTTAACAGGAGTGTGGATTATTTTGCTTTCAGTTATCTGACAAAGAACTGTGTTTATTATACAATGGCTTTGTAGCTCTGAGAGGAAAATATTCTTCAGAGAAATGAGGTAAATACTCATCACGATCTCCTCACCTAAGTGGGAAACCATGCTCAGTAAAAGCAGAAAAGTTTAAACAAAATATTATATGATGATTGGTCTTACTCACAAAAGCAAATAACAATGTGATGTAACCAACATAAGATTCTGAGTGGTTCGCTTGACAGCCAAGCAAGGAAAGAATTCCCTAACACTGGGTCAGATAACACCCTACTGAATAAAAGTTCATTCTATCACCTCAAGACCCCAAAAAGAAAATTAATGTTTCTTGATAGTAGACCTGGATAGTAGTAGTTTTTACCATTACACTATTAAATTTTGTCAACTAAGAATTTATAGGTATCTGTTTCCTTCCTTATAAGTTTTGTAAGATTGAATTTGAGCTAACTTCTTCATAAATAATATTCTTAGTTCTGTATTTTTGGCTGAAAAACTTCAAACACTTATTATCCGCAATGCGTGCGACACCGTCTGCTTTAACCCCTGTAGTTTTTATACCCAGCCAATGAGACTATTGCGATACCTGCATGCTTACCACACTTCCAGGGATTTGTACCATCTGAGGGGCAAAGGCAGGCTTTGAAAACCTACTTCACTGTTCTTAAATAACCCTTCTGGCACAGTGCTCATGGTTCTCCGCATGTCTGTCCCCTGAGGGACAGCACTCATTCACCCTGGTCTCTGCACCCTGCTCTCCCTCCCTGCTCTTAACGCACATAATTTCTGCAGGACACACGGTCCCCTCTCCTCCTTTCTATCTATTCCTCTCCAAGTTTGGATCCAAACTAAATCAGGGGTTAGAGAATGTAGCTCTTGTACCTTGGATTTGGTCAACCCTTTCACAGAGACACGTACAATATTTGCTTGCATAGTAACTAGTGCCTTGTATTTACATGATTAATCACAACTGAAATATTATGTTTACCATTGCATTGGATTGATGAATAGATTCCCCACTCTTTGAAAAATTAAGACAGTTTGAAACATAACAATATTTGAAAATTTGGGGGGATATTTTGACAAGTGCAAGTTTAGATTTGCATATTAGATTATCAAATAATTTTGTTTTTTATCTCCTTTCTTCTTTTACAATAAGTCCTTTGAATAATCTCATTGGATGTTTTTAGTTATTTGTTTTCTAATCACATAAATGCAAAATACAATTTTCGACGTGGTGAAACTGCCTTCAAACTATGCCAGAGAGCTATTATGTTTTCTTATATCTACATGAATATCTGCCCATACTTTGCATACTTATATAAACATGCATTACAAGCACAATTTTAAAAGTCTCCAAATGTCTGTACATGAAAAGGATCCCCAGCCTCTGTCGCTGTAGACAGCTGTTGAAGAAACCGCAGAGAACCACAGCACTCACCCGTGCCTGCAGAGAACTGGGGATCAGCTGTGCAGTCCGGGGGCTCAGGAACGTCGAGGATGTTAATGGTGAGAACACGCCGCATGGCTCCCCCCGTGTCAACTATGAACAGGAATCTTACTGGGTCCGTTTCGTAATCAAAAACTTTGGTAGATGTGATCACACCAGAGCCTAGCAAAAAGTGGATGCAAAGCCATAATCACCTTCAGTAAATACGACATGGCTCTGTATTTTGAAAGATGCTAGAGTTACATATTTCAACTCTTTTAATGGGAGCATCTTTTGGAAATGACACGGTCGACCCAAAGTTATGGAGCTCACAAGAATCTTTAGTGAAGAAAAGAAAGAGCAAGTATTTTCCACTTTTATTTCTAATCTCACTAGTTAGGATGAGTTTACCCTGTAATCATCATACAGGGTGGCCAGAATTTTGAGCTGGCACGGAAGTGAGAACTATTGTCAAGAACTCACAGTTGCCAAAGGAGGGTACTGCTGAGGAAAGGTGTTTGCATCTTCTCCGGATTGTACCTATCACCACTTCTCTGCTGCAGCAGCCTACCCTTCGTGATTAAAAGAACCAGGTAAGCAACAAAACCAAACAAAAGCAAGGCCAGAATACCTGAAAGCAAGAAAAATATGGGCAAAGCAAAAAGAATACTTTTTGTTTTTTCATTATCAGCAATATTAGTTCTATTAAATCTGGGCATATTAAAAGGAACTATGATCACCTTTAGCAAATAATTATTTAAAAATTAATGTGATATATATGTTACTTTTAGAAAGCCCAAGTCACGAAAACTACCAAATTGAAGAGAAAAAATTATATCTGGGCATTTCACTATCATCCCCAGCTAGTACCTTTTAAAAATATTTATTAACTAACCTCTTTAGATGAGTTTAATGAAGGCAAAAGTGAGTCTCTAAAAACTAAATTTTCCACGAACTTTTTTGTTTGAAATTGTTCAGTATATAAGATGATGAGAGCCAAGAAGAATCAAGTAATAACAAGAAAAAATAATCAGATTGGACTTCTGCCAAACGGATATGGAGTTTAGACATCCTATGTATCTAGGTCAAGAAACAATCTCAAATACAGTGTTTGATCAAACCTGGAGGGAATTATGGGTTCAATCATTAGATGGTATTTTCTATGATGTCTCCTAATGTATCTCTCTTGGGTAAATTAAATGAACTAAAACTTGTTTGCTAACCCCATGGTCTCCCCTAACTATCAAGAAAGTTTTTGCTCCTTATTTTGTTTCCTAGGACGTGACGTTACGACAGGAGAGTTCCACTTTCAGTGTGCACAAAGAATCAGCTTCTCTGTGGCCCAACAGAAACGGCTTTGTCCACCTGGGAAGCAGGGTGCTATCAAAGGAAGGTGTTTCTTTTTCTCTTATTTGTTTGTTTGTGTGTTTTCATGGTAGCAGGGGTTGAACCCCGGGCCTTGTGCATGCTAGGCAAGTGCTCACCCTCTGAGCTACCTCTCCAGCCCAGAGGAAGATGCTTCTGCAGTATGCTCTTGCCTGGGGTCTGTCTTTCCTGGCTCTTGAAGCCTGAGGACCTTGGAGATGAGTCACCGTGCAGAGCTTCAGTGTTGGCATCTGCTGTGGTCTGCTAGAAGGCTTGGTCCTGAGGGAAGTGTGGCTGGCAGTGGGGCACATACCTAAGAGCTGGGGATTTGGGGAGATTCACAGGCCTCACAGTGTGTGCCCTCAAAGCCAAAATGGGGTTCTAGTCCTTTCCTCTTCCTCTGGTCACTTCCCAGGCATGAAGCAAGCACTTTTGCTGCACCTGAGCTCCCTGGTCTGTGTGGCCTTGCCATAGCCCAGTGGCAGCAGGACCAGCCTATCACAGGCTGTGACCACCAAGACTGGGAACCGAAAGATACCTTTCAGTTTATAAGTTGGCTTCTCTCAGAGTTTGGAATGGAGACAGAAATCTGACCACCACAGACCCGCTGAGGCTAATGACCAACAAATGGACAGAGATGACCTTGATGAATTCATCTCAGGTTAAGGAAGACTTTGCTGTGAGATTTGAACATATTTTTAATTCAGCCATATGAATGAACCAAGGAAAATGAGAAGAACCATTTAGCCAACTCAGAACCGTGATGGATAAACTGAGTGGCACCTGTGGCCAGTGTTTTGAGTTGGTTTGTTACCTGCCCCACTGAGCAGATATAGGACAAGCACAGATTTAACAGTTGGGGCTAGGGGTAGATGCCCAGCCATGCAACCATCACTGTGGGGCCATGAACTAATAAAAATGGAGAAGCAACTGGATCAGGCATAGTCTTTTTCCTCAGTACATGTCATCAGGGAAGTAGAGTTGCTTAAGAAAGAGTGGTTTAAAAACATGCAAGATCCAGGCTTGGGGGCTCATGCTCAGCAGGAGGCTGGGGCAGGAGGATCTCTATAAGTTCCAGGGCAATCTGGACTACATCAGTGAGTTCAAGGCCGCTCTGAACTGCACGGTGAGACCCGTCTCAAAAAATAAAAATAAAACACATAAGAGAAGCATTTTTTCCCTAAAATTGAGAGCAGCACAGATATTGAAGTTGCTTCTTGGAGGGAATTATTTCTGAACTAATACATCACAAATAGGAAAGCATTGGCCTAGAAAGGAGGATAGAGGAGATAGAAAACAAGATATGTGCAAAGGCTCAGAGAAGAGCAAAGCTTTGTGTCGGGAGATGTAGGTCAACATTAAAATAGGAAACCGTACTTTCAACCTGGAAAAACAAACAGAAACCACATTTTAATGAGATTTGCATGTCAGTATAAAGTATTTGGGTTTTGCTTTGGGGAAAAGAGGAAGCTGTCTGAGAATCATAAACGACACGAGATAGATAAGTATCAAAGAGCTATAGAAAGTGATCCTGTTTGTGTAATAATAAAATTACTCTCAGCAAAGAGAAAATTGCGGAGCAGGGGGTGTAGCTCAGTGGAAATGCATTGACTGGCATGATTTGACCTCAAAAGCAGAGAGAGAGACAGAGAAGGAGGGAGGAGAGAGAGAGAGAGAGAGAGAGAGAGAGAGAGAGAGAGAGAGAGAGAGGGAGAGAGAAAGAGAGGATGGTGAAGGAAGTGTGAGGCACAGAAGCGAGTGCAGAGGTCACTAGAAAACTTTGGGGAAGTAATGTGGAAGGATCACGAGACAGGATTCATGGCGATAGTCTTCTGGTGCTTGGTGTAACCTAACTCTCAGGCAAAGGGGACGGTAGACACAAGTTCTGGGGAGAGACACTCAGCCCAGACTTGAACTTCTGAATTTAAGATGCCTGTGAGTCTACCGAAAAGGTAGAGAGGTCTCACATTCAGGGAGCCTGCTTGAGCTTTGGGTACATTTAACAGCTGCATCAGAGGACGCGCTGGGTGGTAGCAGTCAGAGCAAGGAGACAGGAAAGGGTCCAGAGCAAACAGAGCGGACTGGAGGAGATAAAGCACATTTGGCGATGGCCTTGGAGATGGATGTTAAAGTCCTTTAGGTCCAGGGATTTACACTGGATAAGGCCCCGACACTAAGCGCCCAGGTGCTGCTGGATGGGCAGCATGTGGGTACCAGAGTCACCTGAGAGGTGGTGGCAGGACTTGGAATGTGAGCAGCTTGGCAGCTGCTGTGTTCTGTGTCTCAGCTCCAGGGGGAGTCCGTGGTGCACTGCAGTGAGGACCAGGCATTCTGAGCTCCCACAGAGAAAGGGGAGGAACTGGCTCTGCCAGGTGAGAAGCAGGCTGCCTCCCACCTCCCCATCTCCCCACCCCCTGAGCAGGAGATACAGGTGATGGGAGAGGGAGGCGCCTCCACCTGAGGCAGGCTGTGCTGGCCTCTGGGGTGATGCATTTTTGGTTCAAGCCAAGAGGCAATGTCATGCAGTAGACTGAGAAAGTAAGCAAACCCTTCAGAGAGCAAAGGAAGAAGGCTGGGGTTGCCAGAGGAGAGAGTGAGATGGGGTGGAGAGGGGAAGCTGGGAGGGGAAGTGCATGCCACAGTGGAGCTTCAGGGTGCATCAGGAGGAGCCTTGCAAACTGCCCGGTCCCAATGGCAGGATCTGGGGAGTCTCACCATGGAGGACTGACCAGAACCCAGACTACGAGGAAGGTGTCCCTGTCACAACCCCAGGGAGAAGGAGAAAATTCCAAAATCACAGCTCCTGTAGGTGAGATCCTTGGGTGCAGTAGAGCCCAGCCTGGGCAGAGGGGACTGCACTGACCCTCAGGGCACTGGCCAGGGGGTGACCAGCATCCAGTGGGCCACAGACTGATTCTATTTTCAAATTTTTTTAAACATGTGAAAATCATGTCAGGATTTTGTTGACACTTCTGAAGCCTAGTACATAAATACATGCTTCCAGGTTTCGAAAATTCTGAAAAGCCAGGGTGCTGACCCTCTCAGCTTAGAATTCCGTCCAGCTCACTGTGTGTGGAACTCAGAGCTGAGCCCACCTCAGAGGACTTCAGAAACACCATTTCTATTTGTCACTGGCTGTGGATGGGTTTCCTTTGTGAAAGGCATTGTGCTTGTTTGTCTGTTTGCTGTTTTAATGAGAGGCCATTTTCCACTGTTTGTTTGAACACCTTAAGCACCAGGTCTGCAAGTTTCCTGGGGGATCCAGGACTGTACAGGCGCCTAAGGCACAAGACGGATCCCTGCCTGAACATTCATCAACACTTTGAGGAAAATTAATTCACTTGGCCAAAATATCTGAAAGCCATTTCTCTCGAAATTAGTACAGAAAATACATTCTGGATCATGTGTCTTATTATTCAAAGGCTATCTTTTTCTTTGAAGAAAATGAGGTGACTCAGGATAACTGGGGAACAGAACTTCCTGTGGCCTGAACACACAATTGTGGCAACGTTGGGTTATTGTGAGTGTGGGTAGAGCAGGCTTGGAAAGCAAAGCGAGACCCCAAAATCCAATACACCACTGGGGCATAACCCAATCAATTTCTTTACAGGCAAAACTTGGAAAGAAGTAGAAACAAAGTGAATTAAAATCAATAAGCGCTAAAATTCATTTACTTGCGTCAATGACAAAATCCTTTGTTTTGTTCAGAAAGCGGTAGGCATCAGCTTTTCCAGCCACGTCTTTGTCATAGGCTCGACTCAGCTGGGTTCCAGGAAGCAGGTTTTCCGGCAAATTCACTGGGTCAATTAATATCTGAATTTCTGCTCCAACTCGGGAAAACACTGATCAGATCACATCGAAAGACTTCTTAGATACAACAAAGAATACAAAAATGAAGAGTTCCACCCACAGTTTTCCATACGTTCGTCCCCGTAGGTTACATAAGTAGCTGAAACCATAAGTGGGGAAAAGGGTGCCCTGAACCCTGAGTCCGTGTTTAATCTCGTGTTGTTTAACACTCACTTCAGGAGAGTATCTTAGGTATGCTGGGCACAGAAAATGGGGAAGAACAAACTGATTCCAGAAGGACCATAGCTGTAGTTTATCACCTCATTCAATATGTGTATTTAATAACAACCATGTAGAACAATTATTTTGGTCAAAAGTATATTTTACTAGTTCCATTCTTTAGTGATCATGTCAGTCAAAGCATTTATGTGTTCACTGAAACCTTATTTTCAATATAAAATGTGTTGCAGTACAATTGCATTATAATTTCTATTTTAGTTTACTTATTTTCATGGGTTTTCTTTTTATTAGAATGAAAACAGACTCAGGTTGAGACTCATTGTAAATTGAGTGATATGTCACTTTGACAATGAAATTCAAAAATAGTAGATTCTGACCCTCACCCCCAGGCTATGGAGAGCTCTAAAAGTATGTACCATATCTACACACATTCAAAACCCAAAAAATATCCTAGCATTAAATATAGTCATAAATTCATGGATATTTCATATGATCTCTTGTCATATGACAGAAAAATTTGTATCTAGCAAATCAGCAGCTAAGAGAAGAACATAAGGTAGAAAATACCAAATACTGAATCCCACTTAAAATAATCCAACATTGCATTTTTGATCTTCAAACATATACCAAAAACAACAAGAAAAAGTCAGAGAAAGAAAAGAATAATCACAAATTAAAAGAACTTCAGCAATGATCCAAATTCCTCAACACTTAAATTTGTTTCTGAAAAACAAATCAAACATCAGAGTTAAACCAACCTGTGCATATTAATAAAATCTTGCAAATGTTCATATTTAGACGAGCTTCCAGCATGTCCATGGCAATGCCTACCAACAAATGCATTGCTGTGCCTATTTATACAAATTCAGTCTTTACACAAAGTAAGCCCACAGGTCAATAAGTTGTTACTCCACCCTGAATCCAACCACTTTACTATCTGAGTGACTTGCACTTAGGTCATATTTCAGCTCCTGTGCCTGCTCCCTGATAAATCTGGTGAGATTATCGGCAGAGCCAGGGTCACTAGATAGCTATTTAACTCATGTCTTGAGAGTTGATGTGGGGTATCCTAGGGAGAATCTTTGGCAAGAAGTCCAATGATCTGCTCCTTAATCCTTGGTGACAGAGTAGAAGGTGCTCAGAAAGTAGAGTTAATTCTAACCGGATGCTGAAAAGATTTGCAAACCCAGAGACAACGAACGCCACATAAATGCCAATGGCAACTGCTGTGCCACTGTCCTGAGGGCTGAGGGGCACCAAGGTAAGCCAGACCCACTCAGGCGATTTGTAACCCAGCAACAGGGAGGAGGTTCACAGCCACAACAGAATAGGTGATGTTTCGATAAAATGACAGGAAGTCCAGAGGAGGGAAGAACTTCCAAAATAGGAGACAGAAAGCTTGAAAGAAGTCTTGATTAACAAAAAGCAAATTCTGAGGTGCCAATACAATTGTAAGAGAATCCTATTAGAAAAATAAATATTACAGTTTATCCCCCATAAATACGTATTTCTATATTATAAATTACTCACATGCAAAAGATCGTGATATATTACTATCTGCTTAACAAATATTCACAAAAGCTAGAATAGACTTACAAGAATGATATAGACATTGAAAAGAATACACTGCACTGGTATATGTTAGACTATAATTATCATAAATATGGTGCAAAATATAGATGTGCTATACTAAAATGTTTCATATCACTGAAATACATTTCCTAGTATTTATCATTGTACTACTTAGTGATATTTCATCCAATAAAAAATTTAAGTTGATTTTGCTGCTATGTTTTAGACATACCTAATGATCACACTCATCATAAGGAATCAGCACTGTGCGTGCTGTATCTTGATTCTTCTTTTTCCCGTTCCCCTCCCCTCCCTTCATCCCCTCTTCCTCTCCTTATTTACAAGAGCTTTGCTTCCAGATTTTCCTTCTAGTCTTTCTCTTTCTCCTTCCTTCCTTTTGCTCTCCATCTCCTCGTGTTCCCCTTCCCACCTGAACATTTCCTTACTGTTTCCCAATATTTATTGTTCATTTTGCTCCTTACCCTTTCACTTTCTCCACCAGAGAATGTGATATCTAAACATCTCTAATTTATGAAATAAATAATTAACTAAAGAGACATGAAAGACTATTACTCAATTATAGAAAGCATTCTACAGTAAACTCAATACAGATACATACACAGATATTCAATACTCTACTATTCAATAATACTCGAGTAAGAATAAGCTTCATTATGATTGAAAATATCATTTACACTAAACAGCACTATATGTTCTTAGCAGGCTCAGTGCTCAGTTTATGTCCATGCTTGTTAGCTAGTAAAGTCGGGAAGGATGGCAAAAGTGTCTCACAAACCGTGCAGAACTAAGCAGAAGAAATGCTGCCTTTTATACTTAGTGCATAACACAGACATCAATCAGTTCCATCAGCAAGTGCTCAGAAGCACTGGGTAGCAGCAGTTATAAAATGTTCTTAACCCTTGATATGAATCAGCTGTTTTCAAGCCTTTTAGAAGATATTTCACTTTACATCTTTCTAAATTTAAAACCCACTGACACTTTTCCTAAGTATGATTTTTGACTGATTAGAAAATCCTGCATCCTGGTACAGGTACAATGACAAAAGAGTTTGTAGAGTGGTCCACTTGCTGTGGTGTGAGATACACAATAGAGGAAACATTTCTGAATGAGTTCTTCATGAAAGTCATTGCTTCTCATTCCTCATTAAATGTATTGTTAAGAGACCAATAAGGGACATTTTATTATCTTCCGCGAGGCATTCATATAGTGTAGAAAATATTTAAAATACATTTTATGGAACTTATTGTTATCATCATCATTTGTCTTTTTGAGCCAGGGCATGACTATGCAGTTCAGGTTGGCCTTGAACTCACTTTGTAGCCCAGACTGGCCTCTAACTTAGAGAAATCCTCCTGCCTCAGTCTCCTAAGTACTGAGATTACAGGTGTGCACCACCATGCCAGACTGAGAACCTATTATTATATTACATAATGGCAATTGTTTAATGATAGTTTAACACATTTGGGAAGCTGGCATTATGTGAGCATTGAAGGATTTGTTCAAGCAGTCTTCATGCATGGCTGTTTGTGCCTTTCTTCCTAGAAATTCTAAGTAGCTGCTTATTTCTTCAGAATCTATAATCACTTTTACCTCAGCATTGGATGCTGCCCAGGTCCTGATTTGGCCAGCATCTGGTGTGTTGTCACTATTTCAATACTAGAGGGCAATCTAAGTCCAGTTTTGGCCAAAATACACTTTAGGTGTGTTATTCAGAAAGAACTAACAGAGGACCTGGAAAGAGAAGTCTGTCCCTGCAGGCTTCTCGCTGGTCTCAATGTAAACCCAGATGTCTCATGTGAAGTCACTGGCTTGTGATTACCCTGCAGAATTCTGCTGAGCTGGGCAAAGTCATGAGCGGTGGAAAAGCCTCAAGCTCCTATGTCACACTTGCAGCATCCACACTGAGCACATCAGGACCTGCATGGCACAGGAGCAGCACCAAGGCCACCCTGGATGGGTGCCTGTATCTGAGGTGGACTCAGCCAGCCACGGGGATGCCAGCTAGAGTAGAAATCTGATGCACCCGGTCTGTGTGTCTTCCTCTGGCTCCATGGCTCTTCCAGAAGCTCTGACCTCAGGCAGGTCTGTGGGTAAGAGGTGCTACCATGCACTCAGTGGTAATTATCAGCAGACCGACATAGAGTTCCAGGGCAAGCTTGTGTGCAGAAGACTCTGTCCCACCCTCAGCAAACTGTAGGGCTTTGCCTCACAGTTCTGCAGCCTGATTTGGGGGGAGTGTTAGTGAAGACTGTACTTTGGCTGCCAAGTTTGATGCCTCCCTGAATTGCACCCGAGCCTCAGAGCTGCAAGAATCAGCGGTGCACTGAAGCCCATGCCCTAGGTGGTAGTGTTGCAGGCTGAAATACGAATCCATCCTGCTGGGGCATGTGTTTGTGACAGTGCCAGGGCAGCTGTAAGGGAACATCTCCAAGAACCAGCCTGTCACTGGTTATGCTGCCCACATTTGCGGGGCAGGGAAGGAGACAGTACATTGGTCACCAGGGCTGCTGCTGTGTACACAGGCCCAGTCTTTGTTGGGGATTGAGTTGCCTGGTCCCCCTCCACAGCTGCCATTCATGGGGCCAAATTTCAAACTGCCCCTCCAGTGCCCAGGTCACTGCCTAATGCCAGGTGCATCTGGAGGCTCCATCTGTGAACTCTGAATGCAAAAATAGCCTCCAGTTCCTGCGGAGTATTGAGTAGTCTTCCCAGCAGGCCTGGCGATGAGCTCCAAGACAGCACCCTGTGCTGGCCCTCCTGCCTGGCTCCCAGGTCCACTCCTTACTCCCCTACCTGACATTGCCAGAGGAGTGGCTAAGGCCAGCAGCAGCCTGACTATGGCAGATCCAGAGCCTACAGTGTCCTTGGGCACTAGCTAGCCCAGTGGTAGAAGACCTGAGGCTTTGCCTAGCATGAGTTTCAGCACTGGGTTCTGCTGCTGGGTTTAGGTCAAAGCCTTGCCTGCATCCTGCCCTTCATAAGTAGCATTTTTGAGTTTAGGGGAAGTGATAATGTGTATTCCTGTGCTTCCTGCCTCCTTTGCTATGTTTTTTTGTTTTGTTTTGTTTGTTTGTTTGTTTGTTTTTTGCAGTTCTAACATCAAGCACTATGGTCTCTCACCTGATTTCCTTATCTCTGGCGGGGGTCATCTTGTGTATGAATCACTGTCTAGCCCGGTGTGTGGTGAGCGGATGGTCACCTGGGTATTTTAACCACAATCTCTTTCCGTCCCCTAAATTCTAGTACCTTTAGAAAATGTCTACTGATGTTATTGTTAATTTTTTTCCCCTGGTACTGGAAATGGAATAGAAGGTTTCGCATTGAACTATATTCCCAGCCCTTTTTAAAATTTTGGAGACAAGTTCTTGCTAAGTTGTTACATTGTAGGGTGTACTTGCAGGGTTCTTTGAAATCTTTCTTGGTATAGGTTAAAATGGATAAAGGGATTTAAAAATTCAAAAACAGTGAATATCTGATGACTGAATTAAATGAGAATTAGTGCTTATTCATTTATAAAATAAACAGAAATAGCTGGAGCAGTGCTTCACACCTTGTCATAGAGCTTGTGCACTGAGCCAAGGATCTCCTCCTGTGTCTTTCTAGAATGAGCTCCTGGTATTGTATCCTTTGCATCTCTATATAATATATTTGAGATCTGTGTGTAATATATTTGAGATCTTCTTTAGGCTAAAGTTTTAGAGACTATCATGCCCTGTGGAATATCCCAGTCCTTTGGTCACCTACTCTTTCATTTCCTCTGCAATCTTACAACGTCCTTTGTGGGGTGCTATCATTATCTGCCACACTGCATGTATATGACAATGTCACTTTCCCTTCGGACTCTGATGATTTCAGCTGTGTGCTTTACATAATACTTAATCCCAAAATCACCTGCAGAAGTTGCTTATCTCTGGTGTTAGTGTCAACAGTCTGTCTGAAAAACCATCTAATGTTATCAGCATTAAATGTTGAAATAATTCCTTAATTTATTTACTCAATTAGCAAAGCTGTTGGATGGTAGCAAAATAAATTTTCTCTTTCTTACTCTAAACTTTCAGAAAATAATCATTTAGGAGCATTATTCAGCAGTCACTGTTCTTTAAAGTTATTTTATCAATGCTATCTCTCTAGCACTGAGACCAAACAAGTATATATATATGATTTCGGAAATCACAGTGCTAGAACATTACTTTGAAGCACACATATCCTTCACACATTGAATCAAC